ACGGACATGTCGAGCGGCTAGGTAGCCAAGCACCAAGGTAATATCCCGCCGGCTCTGTTCCCGAGAGCTCAGACACCGGGGCCCCCATTGATTAGCGGCCCCCAGTAAAGCATCCTCTCCTGTCGACCATTGCTGACTGACCGCCGCCTGGCCTGCGGGGCGATGGTGTCCATTGCGTCTGGGCAAATATTTTTCTTACCACATCTCTCGGAATTGAGAAGGGGGTTCAATGTTACCAGGTTTCTCACGAGCTTCGACGGATCGGCTCCTCTGTAACTGCAGTAGGACGGGCCGCACAGACAATCGATGTGCAAAGTGACCTGCGGCAATCTCCGCTGAGGTTCACTAGTGCCAGGACCTTGGCACCTAGGCCACCCCTTGGACTATGCATATGACGGTTGCAATAAACCTGTTGCTTTGGTCATGCTCCCCCCTCCATAGGGGACATGCCGCGATGTGCCCGTGCTTGAGCTGAATCCTGGCGAGGCGGGAATAATTCGTAGAGGGGGGGGGGGTAAACGAGTCGGCAACCACCATTACAGCCCCGAACGACAAACATGAGGTGATGTGTTTTGTTTGTACGACTCAGAGGACTAGGCGTCTCGAGGAGACGAGCCGTTTCAGGTGCCCTGTTCCACTGGGAAACAAGCACAAACAGCGACCGAGGGTGGTTCTACGTTGTCATCAAACGTACGTAAACACGGCTGGACTTGAACCAACGCGACTCGAGTCTGTCGGGTCGATTTGGCTGGCTGCATGCGCCAATCAACCCGGACGGCCCTCTCCAAGGCCACCAACAGTCGATCACGAGGCTGTTGTCATCGGGTACGCTATGGTAAGTTGCATTTCAGAGAGGGCGGCGGCTAAGGTTTGGCTAGATGAATCTGGAATACACAGCGTCTCAAGTACGTAGCACGCCAGCGGCTGTCAAGAGGGGGGTCAATCGGACACCAACATGGTGCTAACGGGCCCGCTCGAATGTGCACGTCTACTGATTATATGCATACGACAGAAGAGTCTTTGATTTTGGAGGCTTCCATGCGTATTCCATGCATGTTTCTACACAACCTACCTAGTGCTACGTAATAGACAGACACCAAAGGATGTCATTGACGCGCTGAGATGCAGGTGGGGGACCACTTGGAGCGTGTTCGATGGACCGTATCCGTACCGTACCTTACCTTGCCTGAGGCTGCAGGATCGTCTTTCCCACCCCCACACTGTGACGTGGGGTCCACACTGTGCAGAACCCTCCCCACGGACAGAAACATTGTGTCAGCGGTGATGGGAAGAGAGACAAGACAGACAGTTGTGGGCAGGTGCTGGTGCTTCCTTCCCGTGATGGCTTGACTGTGTGCTGCCCCTTCCTCCTCCACGACTCTTCGCTCTAGCTTCGGGCCATGACCAGTATCTGCTCTCGGCTTTGGTCTTTGTTCACCTTTCTTCTTCTCCCCCCCCCTCTTCCTTCTTGTCTCGTTTTTTTTTTTTTTTTGTACAGGTACGGAGTACATACCTACCTACCTACCTTGGCTGTTCTCGCTGCCGGCGCTGCGAAGCAAACGCGACCACTTTGTACCTTACTTGTTGCGGATACCTGATGAATCGCATCGTTTTCGGTCTTTTCACAAACCAGAGTGAGTCTCTGTGTCCGGCCCTCGCATCCTCTCCTTCACTCTCCTCTTACAAACAAACCTACATAATACAACTACGACGTTTTACGCACACTGACCAAACCCAAACTTCCTCCCGCCAGCAAGGCATCCTGGCCCTCCCGCCCTCGATGAGAATGGTTTACCCATCTAGTACTACACTACGCAGTCGTCCTTTTCAGTATACCTGCTCAGCGAGGTCCGCCAATAGAACCTGCTTGTCTATTGTCGTTCCGGTTTCTTCTTGCAAATCATCTCCAGTCTCAATGCATGCCGAGCGAGAAACGTACTACCTCCCGCCTTCGCTGCTTTAAAACTGCGAGAAGCACCAAACACAAGCCGTATGATGCCGGATACAACAAATGGCCCCTCCCCCTTCAGACTCTGAGATTCCCGTCCCGTGAGGCCTTTCATGTGCCTGGCTGCCTGTCCATCCCCGTTTGACGTGCGCCCGGGCGCACAAGCCTCGCTCTGCATTGAATACCTACCCTCTTACCCATACGGTACGATCTACCGACCGTTCGTCACCACAACTTGGTCCTACCTAAGCAACATCATCCCCCAACCCAAAATCGATGTCGCCGTACCAGAAATACACGCGCTGGACCACGGCATACACGATGAACGCTAGGCCTGGTCGCACCTTGACCCCGATTCAGCTGAGGTAGCGAGTGTACAGTGCCCGAGTCAATGCTCCCCCCCTTCCCTCCTCCGATTCATCGCAAGCTGCGACAACGGCACGACAGGACAAAGACATTTTACAAAGCCTCACAGTCGGATTGCCAAAGAAACACAACCACCACCCCTGCCGAGGGAGAGTGGGGTCGCTCTGACTAACGAGTGTACATGCCAGCCAACAGGAACCCTCCCGCCAGCGAGCTAGGCGGGATCAAGGGCGGAGGGGGAAAGGGAAGAGAAATACGGATACCATGGTAAGTATGTGTTAATCACGTCAGGTACGGATACACTGCTACGGATACAGGTATGTCGGCGATAAATCGTCAACAGTCCCCGGCTCGCCCCCCTCTCGGTCGACTCGGATCGTGTCCAACGACCACAGTGGTCCCAGAGGGCAATTTTGTCAATCCCTTGCCTGCAGCTGCTGTCCCGTTGGGCGCGTCGCCGGGGAACGAATATCTGCAACTGTACGGAGTACCTTGGTCCAAACCCACAACCATCCTTTCTCGATCGGGGAATGGAACGCCCGTGCCGAAACCTGGCTCATGGCGATCTCTGCCAGTGCCACGTCCAGCCTCATTGACTAGCACTCCAGAAGGCACTACTGCTTCGTAGCTTCGACATGCTTGCTTGCCTTACTTGCCCACTAGCAGACGAGGAAAGATCAAGTACCTAGAAACTTCAGGTCGCCGAGGTCAGGCCAAGGAGGAGCCATGTCAGATGCCGGCAGTTGAAGGGATATGCATGTTAAATCTCGTTAGACCCACTCACACGAGGAAACTACGACTGCTAGCCAAACTTAGCTGAGTGGGATGAACTGACTCCGAGATGACCGCCAGTCGGTCATGCTACGCTGTCTTCCTGCGCGCAGCCTCCGGCCACCGCCATATACACTACACTACCACCGCTACTACATTACCAGACGTCTGGGGCACGCCAACTTTTTCCCCCTTTCGTCAAGCTTGCAGCGTTGCATTGCTCGCTTGCTGCTCGATGGGGCTCTTGGTGGCCTTCACGTCACAAGGCACGAGAATCCCAAGTCGATGGTGGCCAGTTGGCTGTTTCGTCCCTTTAGCTGCCGTGGCAAGGACCTTCGCCGTATCCACACAAACGCGCCTGCACACACACCCCTTCCGCCGGGTCCGCAAGTGCATAGACGCTTTGGGTGTCCGGGCAGACCCATGCCGCGTCGATTCGACTCGACAGTGGTGCAGAGTCGCCAAACCCTGAATGGACAACGCTCTCCGAACCTAGTACTCCGTACGAAGCATTTGTATACCTACACATCAAATCGACCCCATAAGCTTTCTTTTCTCAATGGACCACCCTGCGGCAGAACCGGCATTTCCGCCGCTCCACCATGACCCTGGTAGCTTGCTGGGCTTCTGGATAGCGGAGAGGATCACGACAATGCAAGCGTCGGCAGACATGGGCTAACTACGGTATGTAGTACGTACGTGGAGGCCATAAACAAGAGGCCGCTTGTAGTCTGAGGCTCTGCAAGAGCCCTCGGCATTATGCGGCCCCATGGGCCCGACCCGAGGACAATTCGTTCGAAACGGCGGACGGACGCAAGTCAACGGTCGACAAGTGCCAGCGCTGCGCACAGTTTTTTTGCCGCCCGAGAGCCACAATGTCACGCTTCGTAACGCAGAATTTCGTCCCCGGCTTCTAGAAGGTATCGATGCCACCACCATCACGGCCGCCAGTCAACCACTCCCGGCCGAACCGTAGCCTACCTGACCTCCTCCACCTTGGGCACCATCGGGCTTCTACCACGATCCTCTCAACGTTCGTCTGTTTGTCCACTACCGTCGAGGCGTGCCAGAGAGGCGAATCCAATTGTATCGCCCAGGCATCTTGGCCACCCTCTGCGTCCTGAAACCACCATTGAAAAATTTAATCCGGCCGAGGAGGGAGACCTGAGTCAAGCAACCGGGCACAAACTCCCACACGCTGAGCGAGTTGCTCCACCCCCTCGTCGGGGACGACGCCCGCTGTATCTCCACTGTTCCAACGCATCGTACTAATTACCTACCTACCTTGGTAGTTTACCTCGGCTACACCTGCGTCTTTCCTCTCTCTCTCTGCAACAGCGTCTTGGCCAAAGTTGCATGCTCATCCACTGCGTTTGGAACGAGCTACTCGACTCGTTGTCTGCACCCAGAACGGCAATTATCATTGGCCGATATTAGCAGCCAGCCGCCCTCATTATTGCAGTCTCCAATCACACAATACCCCTGGATCTTTGCTCAAGTCTCGAGCTTCATGTCTCACCCCGTGAGTCTGTGAGTAATCATCGGAGCAACCTGGTAGGCATCGTCGTTGGGGTTTCAGCAAGCAATACAGTAAAGACGGCAACCTACAGACAATCTGACTTGACTACACACGCGGTTCGTATGCCAGACAAGGGATTTGGACCATGCGCAAGCAACGCTGGCCCCGGCCGACCTGACTGATGGATGGACCTGGGTCGTGCCCGCTTTGCCGAGCTCTCCAACATCCGGTATTACGGTTCACCCGTGACTACCGAGAAATATTGACGGTTAGACGATATAATCTGGGGAAGCGCAAAGTGCAACGACCCCGAAACCTGCAAAGACGTTATCTATATGCCCCGAGCCTCTTTTGACTTCCATAACAGTGAGCTTTATTGTGAATTCACATCCAGAATTAGGCCCTAGCCCCATTGTCATGGTTCTCAACCAAGGCGCGTGCGTTGCGGGCAACAGCCAGCAGGTCCAGGCCGGCCGTGCTACAGTCATGCTTGACTCTGATTCCGCCGACGTTGCTGGGGGCCATGTACATACGCAGCTCCCCGAAGTCCGTTGCGACGGGCCTACCAATGTATTGTCATGTTTGGCCACTTTCTCTATTGGTTCGGCCATAATTTGGCAGATAGCCAACCCCCATCCATCAGACCTGTTTTCTTGGGGGTTTGATCTGCGGGTATTACAAGTCACTCGCCGTTGGAAGATGGATAACGGCGTTCGTCCCCCTTCCACCACAAAATGGAACCGAAATGTCAGCGTACGTACGCAAACTGTATCACTGCATTGCTCGGCTCTTGGCCATGACTTGGGCGCTGGACCGGATAGAGACGCCTCCGACTGGCTTTTGCGCAACACGATCCATAAGTGTATGGACTTGCAACGTGCTAGGGTTACATCCAGAGACATGAGTGGTCACCACGGCCGCAAAGGCCATCATGAGGCCATGTGCATCATTCGACATCTTTACCAAAGCGGCCCGCTCCGAAAAAACAAAAGCCACCCCCGGGGCCGGTGCCCTCACCCGAGGGCCGCGTCGGCACAGACCAGTCGTGCTTCACGAACAAGTTACTGCCGAAAAGATTTTGACTACAACCGTACTATGAGAAAGAGAGAGGCTGTGTGAGTCTCATTAACTCACCTGGAGTGCTTGCGTCTCTGTGACTAGCTCTGCACCGTTGTCGCTTGCCACTTGAACAACGCGGACGCAGACGGCCATGGCAGGAGAGTCCTTATCACTTCCGCACAGAGTAGCAGGCAAGGCTTCGAGGCCAACGTGCACTTATGACGGAAATATCTTCTCAAGACGCTGGTATCCATCATCGTTAACTACTCCGTAACCGCCAATCACTCATATGCAGCTGTTTCGACCCTGGAATCTAACCTCCCCGGGTTCAAAGTGCAAGGGGTACCATCACCCAACGCGTGTGCCGTGCATACTCACCGGCCTCGTGCAGTGTGGCCGCCAAGAGCCCGAGGCGCGGCCCCAACCCGAAGATTTCCTGTGTTACCAAACACGCGAGCTTGTCGGGTCGGCTGGGCATCTTGACCGGCAGGCGGCGGGTACTTCCTGAAGCGGGCAGTCGATGAGCGCTTCAATTACGCCTCGTGAGACTCCTACGGCCCGAGGGAGGGGCAACCTCGGCGTCTCATCCAACCGCCGCTCAACAAACATTGTTGGTCGAGGACTGATGTTGGTAGTCGCTTAAATGCCGTCGTACCAACAGTCCAATGATCAAGAGAAGCCAGCCTCCCCACCTACACTCGCATCGTCGCCGATGTCGCCTTCTTGCTCGTCCTAGCACTTCAACTCGTACGTCAATGCCGTTTTTTCAACTCCTTCAGCAAGTCAAAGTGAGGCTTATTAGCATGGCAACGTCGGCATGAGAAAAGAGACATCTTCCCAAACCGCCGCGCGTTCCGCTCCCACTATGCCTGACGTAGCCAGGCCTTGCCCCTGTGCTATTTGTTAGTGGTGCATCTCTGGGCCTTGGCTGTTCATGGAGGAGGAGGACGGGCTCTGTTTGTCCCCGTCCCAGCAAACAAACCTGCACAAGCGAGGCGTCTTTTTCGGAGTTGAGTTCCCAGAGAGGCATATGCGTGGCAGGCTTGCCGTCATCAAGAGACGGAAAACAAGTGGCGGTGCGGTCGACCGACACGGTACGGGAAGTGATGTGATGCCCAAACGAGGAGAGAGGCGGGTGAATGTTGACACCGGTGAGAAGATGGATGGGATGGGTAGGTAGGAGACCGCCTAGAAGTGGATGTCCGCGGAAACCTCGAGACAAACATGTATAAAAAGACCTCCAGGAGCCGGCACCTTTTGAGGTTCTTGCCCGGCATCACCACAGTCCGCAACCATACACATTTCAACTTCCCCCTCTCCATTTCATTTTTCGCACATCTCATCAAGTCGAATTTAGCCATCAAGACATCATCACACACCCACCATGTCAACCGAGAGCAAACCCGCAGCAATGGCACACGAACAGACGGCTACCGTCCCTGAGCACGGAAGCGTGCTCGACATCGGCGGCGGCAAGATGGAGTCTCACATCCTCGACGACCTACGCCGCACCCTCGTCGCGGCGACCCAGCGCCCCCCGAACAGCCACGCGGCACCGCCCACCATGCCTGACGAGCTGCTGTACGACGACAAGGGCCTGGCCATCTGGGCCGACATCATCTTCACGCCCCAGTTCTACCAGACGCGCGACGAGATCGTCCTGTTCCAGAGGCACAGCGGGGAGCTGGCGAGGGATTACATCCCCGACGACGCCACCATGATCGACCTGGGCGCCGGGTGGGTCTTACTTTGCTTTCGTGATTCCCTTATCTCTTGTGTCCCCTCTTCTCGGGCCAAAAGAAGTACAAGGAAAAAGAGAAAGGAAAAAAAAAACACTTGGAAAACACATTGTCAGGACAAAGAGGTTGGCTGACCCGTTTGTTAAATCTCCAGTGATATGCGCAAGGTCAACTACCTCCTGGAAGAGCTTGCCCACCAGGGCCGCAGGGCGACGTATCTCGCCCTCGACATCTCGAGGCGCTCTCTCACCACCAACCTGGAGGCTCTCGCGCCACGCCACGCCGGCGGCAGCGTCCGCATGGCGGGCCTCTGGGGCGACTTCGCGGCGGGCCTGGCCTTCGCCGAGACCGTCTCGGCGGCACCGCGCGTCTTCCTCTCCCTCGGCTCCGTCCTCTTCAACGACCCGTGGAAGAAGGCAGTCGCCGCCCTGCGCGACTGGGCCGCCCTCATGCGCCCGGCCGACCTCATCCTCGCCGGCATGGACGGCCACGATGTCTCCTCGGCCAAGGTCTGGGACGCCTACCACGCCCGCCCGGACCTGTTTACGCGCTTCTTCCACAACGGCCTCGCCCACGCCAACGCCCTGCTCGGCCACGACGTCTTCTGCCCTGAAGACTGGGACATCTGCGCCGAGGTCGACGCCGCCGAGAAGCGCCATCGCTTCTACCTCCGGGCCCGGCGCGACGTCGACGTCACGGCGGGTATGACGACAACGACGACGACGGCCACGCTACGTCGTGGTCTCGAGTTGGACTGGTTCGACGCCCACAAGCGGTCCGAAGCGGACGTTCGCGGTATGTGCCGTGAGGCCGGCCTCGAGGTCGTCAAGTCGTGGGCCGCCGAGGGCTCCGAGATGCGTCAGTACCTCATCCGCGTCAACCCCGATGGCGGCGCCGCCGCCGAGGAGAACTCGTCCGACGAGAAGGATAGTGCCATCTCAGTTAGCGGGGAGTAATAACGGTTCATCTCGGTCGCAAGAGAGAAACGGAGAGGAGGGGGGAAAGGGGGAACATTTCCGTGCCTTGGGTTCCTTTTATTCTCACCATCTTCCTTCTCTTGTTTTCATCTTCGTCTTTCATATGTAGGAGGGGAGACGACAAAGGTAGTCTCGCGCGAGAGCCGAGGAGGCAGGCAGGTGCAGGCGCATTTTGTTTTACGGCTATGCGGCCCTCCAGTCAACCTGAAAATCCGTTTGGATCCAGCAGGGGTTATAAACAAACAAGATACGATAGCTGAAAACAAGGAAGACAGACGTAAAATAAACAAATAAAACAAAAATCATTGGCTGATCCTTGCTTGTATCAAAAAAAGAAAGAAAGAACAAAGCGTGGCTCATTGAGAAAACGATCACCATGTCCCTCGACCCCGACCTATCTCTCCTAAATCAAGCACAACGTCCCTTCAGTCGCAGCGATGTGGGAGACGAGCGTCTCCCACCAAGGGTGCCGCTCCGAAATGCGTCGGGGAAGTTCGGAACGGTTGACATCGCGGGTGTTGAGGGCCATCCATGCGCGAATCCGATTGAGTGACTGGAATGCCGGGGGCACGCTCTGCAACGAAGGGTCGATTAGATTGGGCAAGGGATATGCAATGATGGACTGGACTGAACTGGACTTACAGAGCGGCAGCTGGTACTAATGACTGACTGGAACCAGTTCAGGGCACACTGGACGTGCGCCTCGTGTATGGCCACAACACCCAAAAGGAAGACTGGGAAGAAGGGAGACTGGGCGGTGAAGAAGGTACCTGACGTTGGCATCATCCGGATGCACTTCGCCAGCTCTGTCACCGGGAAGAGGACATCTGGATGACAACGGGGGAGCCTCTCGAGACGACAGCGGAGGTAGATGACGGCCGCCAAGCGCCATGCCTCTGCTGTGACTTCCGTCATGGAGCTCCTATCCATGATGAGCCCGTGCTTGTCCAGTTTGATGGAGGCCAACAAGTCGCGGGGGTGAAGGCTGTCTCTGGAATTGCCTGGCTGAGACGAGGAACCATCGGTCCACTGATGCAAATTCCTCAGTTCCTCAAGCAGCTTGTCGGCACCTGGTTTGATGACGAATTCGCTATCCTCAGGGTCCGCACCTAGAAACGCGCTCATGTGTGTGATCTGCGAAAAGCGATGCAGTAGTGTTGGAGACATGCCGCACCCGCCATGAACTCTGTGGACGTCGTGCTCCGATCCTTGCAATAGCCACGCAAACTGGCGGTTTTCCGTAGCAGCCAAGTCGAGAGGAGCCATCGGAAGGGCCAGGATAGCTGCTCTGCCGGCAATAATCATATTTCCCGCCTGCGCCTCGGAGGGTTGGATGTTGACGGGCTTCCAGTAGCGGTGCCCTGGTTCCGTTGCGTCCAGAATTCTACACGCCAGACGAGCGCCTTCCAACCAGCGGGGGACGCGGTTTGGTGGCCGTCGCTGCTCGGGAGACACGACGTCAATCATGTTGAGGACGCCCATGGCAGCCACCATGCAATCTGCTTCACTTTCTGAGGGGAGCTGATTACGAGCCTCACGTAATGCCATGCCCAATAGGATAACGGCGTTCTTGTAGTGGCTCTGGGTAATCTGCCGAATCCTCTCTCTGGGCTGGTAATCAAGCACGTACGTCCCAGCGAGTGCCAAAATGGCAGATCTGACACACGAGTCCTGAGATGCCATTCGGGGAATGTTTTCGAACCAGCAGTTGGTTTTATCGAGAACACTCCTGCCTGGGCACCAGGCCTTCAGGTCTAGTAGACGGTTATTAGGTGTGGACCCGAGTGATGGCCATGGACTTACAAAACGCGAACAGACTCTTGTCGTCCTGGTCTTGTAGCCCCATTTCCCCCATGTACTGCGGAGAGAGGTACATGGCGAGGGTCGACCTAGGAGAAGGCTCTTGTCCGCTTCCCTTGTACATAAAGACAGCGATCCCTGACTCCTTGGCCGGCTTTCTCTTCTCGTTGTGAAACTTGATGTACCCATCAACCTTGGTGCCCCGCTCTATTGGGCGTCGACCCAAAACCAGACGATTTTCGTCATCGGCGTTGTCGTCAAAGGGGTTCGACAAGGCTAGGTTTTCCACACAACGAGATTCCGGGGCTGGCAGCATTGCTTCGAATACAAGATTGGCCGACGGGCGAGGGGAGACGGGCGGACCGTACAAGGGCACTTGTGCTGAGAAGGCGGCTACGCCATCACGACGTGCTATGTAAGTCTATCAGCTTTGGATGCCTCGGCCATGCCATACTGCCAACCACGTGCTGTGTCTACTCGCCCCTTCCGTTGTCCCTTCTTTCCCACCTTCATTTTGTGGGTATCCATGCAAGGGATCGAGCAAGCATGGGTACCACCAAAGTTAAGAGTCAATAATGAACTTACACGACGGGGAGAATGCTGCGGGCCGGTCGCCAACTTGCGATCTTGAAAGTCGACGCCGACGTGTCGTCGGGTTCGAGTCGGCAGCAGATGAGGGCAAGTCTGTCGGTTTGCTCCATAATTGGTAGTCTCGGTGGACGATGTCGTTGTCGATGTCGTCACTGCTAGAGGAGGGAGTTGATGTAGGCGTAGATGAAGGTGGAGTTGTCGGGGCGGAGAGTGAAGCGGTCGAATTGAGAACTGGAGGGGGATCCTCGTCAAAGTCCAGGGTTCTCTTACGGGGGTGCTTAGCCGTCATGATTGCAGCACTGTTCATGTCGAGCCGGGCCATCAACATGCCATCGGGCCCGGGTGGAGCATCAAGACCGTGCTGAGTACGGAACCTTGGCCGCCAGAAGAACGGAGACACGAGCCTAATGCCGCCGGCTCCCTGACAAAACAAGTGGACAATGTCCCGGGGAGAGCGAGTACGTGCACCTAGATTCAAGTGGAGAGATGGTGGTGGAGAATGGGCGGAAAAAAGAGGGGGGGGGGGGGGGTTCAAGGCGTAGAAAGCAGTTTCGGGGCCAGGAATATGACAGAGCAGCAGGGCAGGGGGTGTTGGATGCGACCCGGGACCGGGAGCAGGGTGAAGCGGCAGCGGAGACGGCGGAGCAGTAAGGTTGTCGGGCCAGATGAGGCAAGATGGGGGATGGGGCTGAAGGAGAGAACAGCACCAAGACCGCTACACTGGGTAGCCAGAGGAAAGGGGCCAAGAGCACCACGGGTGTGCGCTGGGGCACCGGCCGCCAGCAGCTTTACTAGCAGCGACGACCAACAACGAGTGCGCGCTACTGTCAACCCAAACTCAGGATGTCTTGCCGCGCACGCTAAAGGTCCGGGGGCAGGGCTGTAGGTAGTGTGCGTGCGTGCGTGCGTGGCAGTGGATGTGGGCGGGTAGGATGAGGAACCGAGGGAGGGGAAACGCGGGAGAGGGTGGTGGCCGATGCGCAACGCGACAAGTGACAGCCAAGGTAGATAAACCAGGTACGTGTGTGTACGGAGGAGTATGGTGGATGAGATAACAGGATGAATAAGCCGGAGCGACGTGATGGAGCACGGATGTCGACGCGCCCCACGGGCACGGATACCGCCTGTAGTGCCGTCGACCACCGCAAACTTGAGGGGGGGCCGAGATGTCGGGGGCCTCTAATTTACTTCAGTTTAGTATGACGGCGCGACCCCACTCCAAAATGCATGTCAGCGTCAGAGACACCGTTCGGATCATGAATCTGACTGACTTTAGTGCGAGTCTCTTGCTATGCGAGATGGCTCGGATCAGGCTGGCAGCACCAAGCAAAGCGAAGAGCCTACTTCAGGAAGACGATTGGCTGGCGAAGCTTTGAATACGTATTTTAGTGTATGGAGTAAGGGCCGAGTGAATAATCTGACAGGAGAAGGCGGATAGATGCGAAGAATTCGATGTTCTTGTCGTTGATTCAGGGCAGAAATTCTAGAGCCGTGAAGGCGTGCATGCAACGATGATAAGCGATGGCGTGTACACACGTGTCTGGACGGCGAGGATGATGAACTAGGCGAGGTGACTTGGGCGTGCCCCCCTCTTTCCCCCCTCCCCGAGCAATGGGCGCTGTCTTGTCCAAAGCTAAGCCGACAAAGATAAGGCTTAATGGTTCGAGGTAGCGAAGCGGTGGGTAGGTATGGTATTCTGGAGGGCCAGGATCGACCAGTAGCGGCAGACGTTTCGGCAGCGACACGGTGTCTCGACAGCATCAACGGATAGTGCCCAGGAAGCGAGACAAGAAAAGACAAGGGCGGACTACTGCAGCCCCTTTGTCAGATGACTGGGCGCCAGTGATGTCTTGGGTTGGGTCGAGTCCGTGTGTTAGAGTTTCAGCCCAATGGGACTTCCCGCTACACGTCGGATGGCCTGATTTTTTGAGAGTCTTGCCTGCATGAGACGAAGAATGGATGGAGGCAGTGGTCGCACGAGGGATTTTGTCGTCGCAGCACGGTCCGCGATAGGCCGCCTTGCTGATTTGTTTTTCTGTTGTCTCTGCCTTAGCGCAGCTGCGAGTGGTGACGTGAGCTTTTGAGGAGTTTTATTGCTGCAAGCCGGGCAAGTCAGAGAGAGACACCGAGACAGAGACAGAGACAGAGACAGAGACAGAGAGAGAGAAGGTGTACGTGTGGGTGGACGGGGTGGACGGAAGTGAAAGGAGGTCCAAGGAAGAGCAAGGGCCATCGGATGGACGAGTGAGAGCAATCAGACTGTACCTCCCTTAAATGGAATGAGATGTCAAAAATACGAGGGAAGGTAATATTGGACGTTGTCTTGGATGGTGTCAGGCATGCGACGAGCATACGGGACAGTCTGTGTGTATGACGTGAACGGTTGGGGGAGGGAATGAGGGAAAAAGAAGACTTGACATGCTCTCACCTCGACAACGAAAGTCCCTTACGATGACTGGGACATGGGCTCGAGAAAAAGAGGTACTGGTAGGTATGTACGGATAGCGGAAGGGGTGGGGTAAGAGTAGGGGAATGCGAGGGAAGGAGCAGCAAGTAGGAAGGGATCAGAGAGAGAAGGAGAGAAAGAGAGGGAGAGGGGGAGAGAGCTACCTAGGTAGCTTGACTGGTGGCAGGAGACAAGAGGCGGGAGGAACGAGAAACGGGGAAGGAGAAAGGAGGGGACGGCAATAGCGAGAGCGAGAGCGAGGGCGAGGGGCGGCCGCGACTGCTGGTGCAACGGTGAGGATTGGACGGACTACCTACCTACCTAGCTACGACTGCGACTGCAACTTCGGGTGAAAGTGGTTCTTGGTGCGTCGTGTTAGCCCTTGCGCATACCGCGCCAGACGAACTCTAAAGGCGGGCGGTTTTCGAGGGGGTGTGAGCTTATTTCAACATCTCCATTCTAGGAGAGTGGCAAACTCGGCGATGCATTGAATGCGCAACGAGATGGAGTGAGGAAGATATGACGAAAGACAAGCCCGGTTTTAGTCTTGGTGCTTTCACGACAAAACGAAAGAGAAGGGGGAAGGCAAGGGGGGGAGGAGAATGGGGAGGGGGGGAAAACACCTTCCAAAATCCGAAGGGTTTAGCTTTCACCGGACACAACAGAGGGAAACGCAGGGAAGGCAAGGGATAGGGGGGGGTGGGAGTGGGGGAGGGGGTGGAGGAGACGGGAAGGAAAAGAAATATGGGCAAATTGTTCAAATTGAAGGAGGGAACAGGAACGGCAAGAGGAGCTCAGAGAGCATGGAGATAGCAGTTACACTACAGGAAGCTGACATGCAAAATCGACATGGGTAAGACCTCGTTTGTCGATCTCTGCGAGTGGAATAGGTATGCTAAATTCACCTTGCCCCCCCATGGTCCCATGCTCCATGCATGCTCCACTTCAGCCCCCCTCCCCACTAGCCTTGTCCTACTACAGGTACGAAATATCCGTACCTATGTAAGGATACTGCGTAGAGAGAGAGAGAGAGAGAGAGACACACACACACACACACACACGAATGTCTCATATCCCGACTCCCGACTCTGGACTCCCAAACTCCAACTTCATTTCCCTTCTTTCCCCGCTACCAACGCCTACAGCACCATGCCTTGGTGCCATTCCCTTTTGAAGTTCGCCTGCATCGTGTCCTCGTCGACCTGCGCCAAGCTCCAAGGGGTCTTTTTGCAGTTCACCAGCTCTCTAAAATCCGTATTTCCGTCTTCCGGGCTCATTGACTGACCGACCTTCTCGCATTTTCTTACCCTACCTACTTTGCTGTTTTCCGGCCTCAAATCGATTAATTAATCCTTTGCAGCGAGACTCAGCCGTGTATGGATCTCCACCTGCCATTGCTGAGTGTTAGGTACTTGGTTTCCTAGGTAGTAATTAGATACGTGCCAGATCTACGGATACTGGGACCAAACCAATGTTGAATCTCACTACCCCGGACAACAACAACAAGCACGCGCAAGGACACCTCTGTTGATCGAGAGAGAGAGGTAAAAAAAAAAAGAGGGCCATCAACATCAAGATCCAACAGTAACCCCCTACCTGTACCCGGCCCACGGGCAATACCCGCCACCAACAATCATCCTGTCCAACACGCCGTTTCGCACCTCCAATGCAATTGGCAGACCGTGCTATGCATGCTCTGACACTCCAGCTGGCAGCGCCCAGGCTTAGATAGCGCCTCTGTAGCGGCATTCCCCCCCCTCCCAGGGTTCCGACACCGCTTGTTGCCCTTACCTTGATGCTCGGCTGCTGCTGACTGCGGCACTGCATGGCATATTGCCCGCGCGCCTATTCGTACACAGTTACACTAGGGATACCTCTGCTGCCTTCCACGCCTTCACGATTCCCCCAAGGCCTGCCCTTACCTGTGTGCCTGCCTGCCTGCCTTGTCCACCCGCCCCCCTCCCCCCCCCCCCTCCGGGCCTCTGCAATTCGCATTGCGTTGAGAGGCATTGATGCCATCCAGGCGAGCTGACCTTCTCGGTTGGGGTGGGTGTCGAATACACGATCGACGACATGTTAGTGCTTCGTGGTTACACTATTTCAGATCAACCTTTATGTTGGCGGCTCTACTAAACTTTTAGCGTAATTCCTTTGCGTTTTAGTAACAGACGGACTATCTCCACCTCGTGATTCCAGAGTCCATTCCACTGTACTGTTCTGGGTTACGGAGGCGCGACCCTCTCCACTAGCGTCCACATAGTATGAAGCACCTTTGTGCCGTCGAACACTTTCTGTGTCTACCATAACTGAAGAATGCAGCTACCGCGGTCTCAAGACATTTTTGGGTTACTGCTGTGAGCATTTGCCGCTTAAAGGCCTGATTCCGAATTCAACGTTCGATGGCTAGGCTGGGAAAGCGGGTGACACTCTCCTCGAGGTGCGACCCGCTTAACCTGCCTTGCTCGCCCGGTAAACGATGTCTGTGAGCCGTCGGCACTCCTCCGTCACTCCGTCGACTCTTGACCCTCGTCCTTTCCTCCTCCTCCACCTCCTACCACTTTTGACCACACACACACACACACACACCCTCGGCTGCTTCTCACCTGCTGGCTGTTCTTTTGTCCATGGGAATCGGCCATGTTCTAGGCCTTGGCCGACTTTTCTCAAACCGCACGCTTTCTTCTTCCTGCCGCACACCCACCCCATCATTCCCTCTTTCGTCTCTTTGCTTACATTCGGTCTGCTAATCTATCCTCGCGAACCCAACAGATAACATTTAATTGGCTTGCCCCCCTCCATCCTCCATATGCGGGAAATGGAACATGCAGAAAGCCAACCAGGCCCTCATTGCCTCACCATGCCTGGCAGGCCTGCTTTGCCTCTCTTTCTGCTCCTTCTCCTCCCACCCCTCCCCCCACCCCCCCGGCTGTCCATCTCATTCTGTCCCTTGTCCTGATTTTCTCGAACCTCTCTCTCCTTCTGATTTCTTGGCCTTGCCCATCTGCACCATGATACGGGCGTAAAGAGGCAAGGGACTGGCACTACGCCTGAGACCGCGTTTGCATCTGCATCCACGTCTGCGACTTACCACTCTCCATGTCTCTCTCCCCCCTTCTCTGCTCTGTCTCGCGTTTCCTCGCTTTCCATCCTGTCCCCTTTCCCATACCTCCCTCAGGTACGCAGTCTGCGCCGGATCCACAACACCAGCACCGATACGCTACGATACCAACGCGCCGTTCCATTCGTGACCCCCCCCCCCCTTCAAGTCGTTGCCCCTCTCCCGTCCACTACTACCTAGGAAAGAAATAGGTACCTACCTACATTGGGTGCACCGTACATGCTACACATACCTCACATACCTAATCCTCTGGGTGTCGGCCGTCTCCCCCTCCCGTCCCCTCGCGTCTCCATTCATCTCCATCAGACTCTTGCTACCTACGGATACCGGACCCGACTGACCTGTCCTGGCCTTCCCACTACCACGACTGCCTTGACTTGGCCCCTCCGCCATTCCTCGCCTCCTGGAGTCTTATCTCTTTTCTCTTTTCCCGTCACCTCGTTCAAAGTCAACGCCCTCTCCACCTGTCTCCATCTTCTTCTTTCCCCTTGCCCAAGTCATATCCTCTTTATTGAGTTATGACCAGGACTCCTCTTGTCCTTGCAAACTCTCTAGATTCACCAGCGCCCATCCCGTCGCCTCGCTTTCTGCCTCTTGATTCATTGTACATGTTTTCTGGCCTGGATTACACCGGGACGTTTCCTTCCCTCTTCAACGACCCACTTGGAGCGTTTCGACGTCGTCTCTAGAGAACTAACTGTACGGCCGTTCTGCCATCTGCCTGCCATTTTTCGGCTCCCGCTCTTGTACTCGATCTGGGCAACAAACGCCCTCGCAATCCATTCGGCCTGCCACCGCTCCAGACCCTTCGCGTCCCGTTTTGCGGAATTTGTAGAGCCATCCAGCACGGTGTTATGCGTCCAGCTTTCTGTTCTGCTCGTCATGTCGCTCAAGATCAACTCGCTGCTAAATCCCGAGGGATCAGTCGATCAAGAGGCCGAGGTCCGCAAGATGCTCAGCAAGGCATATGCCAACTGCGATAGGACGCTGCCGAAACAAAATCCCAAGGAAGGTGCACTAGCATACTTCAGTGATGTTCTCGTCCACATCACCGAAGTATTGTACAAAAACTTTACCGACGAGCTTCTGCACGAGGAACGCTTGAACTCGACGGGGCACAACATTGTCGATCAGGCCTACCGTGCCAATGGGTTTAATGACATGGGCATCCTTGAGTTCCATACGAAGAGGCGTAAGATGCTCAGGTTTGTTTAGACCCGCCATTTCAGCGTCTCCCAGTTGCTGACATCGGACCCAGGAGCATGAAGGAAGCCGTCGACACCAACGCGGCCACCCTGAAGAGCATCAGGGAACGCGCCTCTCCCGCCCAAGAAAAGCGCGCCTCAGAACCCGGCCATCAGACTTTCTTCTCGGAATCGAGCTCCAGGTCCTCCTTTTCCTATTCGGCATCGTCGTCTGGGGCCGTTTTCTCCGCAGTTACATCACAAGCGTCCATGTCGGATGGCTCACATACGTACCGCCAGTCTGACCGATACCATCGCTCAACCACCCCCGACTCACCGCGAGAAGGTGATGACGAAGAAGATGTTGATGATGTTGACGACGACACAATGCTGGGCGACGACAGCACAGAAGGCGTAAGAGCAGGCGCCAATGTAGACATGGACTCTTTAAGGCACAGAGGAAAAGGTCATTACATCTGCCCTCATTGGCAAACATGCCAAAAGGGAGGTCAAGATCACAAGGGGGGACCCAAGATCTTCTACCGCAACTGCATGTACAGGTAATAGCAATACCTGCCACTTGTCGAGACTCCATGCTAATAACGACGACAGGCAACACTTGCAGAAACACTCCAAACCGCACAAGTGCATGTTACCCGGGTGTCCTAACAAGGACGGATTTGCGAGGAAAGACCAACTAGTTCGACACCAGGCGAATGTCAAGCACGACCAACCGTTGGCTTTGCCCGTGCCCCGGAGGTAGCATCGCGTTTAATGGAACATAGGATTGGACTGTAACCGGGGCGTTGACACGACTTTCTCTTGCGCCACTTTGATCATTTTCAAGCGGTTTTAGCCCCCCCCCCCCCTCCCTAGTCGGCTTGGGGCACGTGGGTTGAGCGTTGTAAGGCGTTGGGTTGGCACATTGTATCACCATCTCTCTCACCGTCGACAAGGGACCGGCGGTGTGTTTTTATGTTTTTCTATCTCTCTGGTCTGGTTTTTGCCAAGTCGGGGCATGCTGCCTGTTATACCCGTCTTGGATGAGGTGATGGGGTGGGCCATGGGTTTATTTGGTATGGGGATAGAGGGGCAGACTTTGAAGTCGGCGTAAAAGAAGGCACGGGCGGTCATGAGGGTATGAGAAACGAAGTAGCGGGAGTCCCCACGATTGGGTGCTGAATAATGACTTGTTGAAGCAAACAAATAGCCACTGTGCATCTTGATCTGTTATAAGACGGGGAAAAGAAGGTAGAAAATAGCTGTCGAAGGAAATGTTCCGGTGGTGCTGATTGATGGACGAGAAGGCCCGATTCCTGCAGGCTGCTAATGTCATGTCCGGGGGGACATGATCAACTACCTAGTCGTGCCGTCTGCACGCAGATATAACGAGTGGCATGTCGAGCTGAAATCGGGCCAGAACCGACTCGCCATGTTATCTACCCATCGCATCTCACCTAAAAGTATCAATTGATTTTGGAAGGTTTCGCCGCGGGCGTCAGTGCATGGACACTGGACCTGCAGGTTCCCAAGCGGAGGGCTATCAATATTGCCAAGTACGTCCGTATGCAGTATCCTCATAGCCTAATAGATGTTCCCCCCAGAGCCACTGCAATCGGACCATAGTCCGATCTCCGCAGACTGGTCGAGCAAGGAATAAATCCTGCCCTATCCCCCTCCCTCCGGCCCCCCTCCGCTCTCCGGCCCCACACTGAAGCCACAAGCAATCCCCCCCCCCCCCCCCTTGAGATGCAGAAATCACAACTTCCAACAGGGATATTTGTGTGCTTGCAGCAGCAGCCTCGGAGGATTCCCGTTGGTCGTTACCAATGTCGGCAACGGGATACAAGCAAGAGAGCAGATCGGGGGGGGGAGGGGGTGGCGGCGGTGTTGGAGACATGTCGATGAGCGGCCGATACCTGCCTGTGCGTGAGAGCCTGAAGGGTCAGACGAACGGGCGCATTTGCCGGAAGAGGGCTTATCGGCCGAAGGGGTGTATCTTGGTGACCGTTCCGGCTACCTTGCGCGTTACAAGGCTGTTATCGCAACGCCCTCCCGCTGGGGGCTCGCTCATTCGTTCAGGTCAAGTCATCTGATTCAGACTGGACTCGCGTCCGTTCCGTACCTGCCCTGGTGTTTTGTGTCCGTAAGGCGACCAACATGGGTAAACCCTTCCCAAAAGAAGTGAATCGGGGGTTGCGCCGGGACATGGCCAGAGAGAAGTAGGTTTTTTTTTTTCTTTCTTTCTTTCTTTGTAGTTCCAAGACGCGGGGGGATTCGCTTTCGGCATGGACTGCTTGGGGATGGATGTATGGACATGGTAAATGGCCGGCTTCAACCAAGGTATCAGGTGCCAATCTCACGTCCTGTTGGAGGAGGCCTAGCATATAAGTCTACTCCGTACGGATACTGAGGAAAGAACGCCAGCTAACCCACCCACTGCCTGGTACGATATAAGGGAAAAAAAAAACCCCAAACAGGTAGTGGGGAACTGTGACCCACGTACGTCGAGACCATCTCACTGGCCTGATTCGTGCCGGATATGCACAAGAATCTCTCGCTGAGGTAATCGACGATGCATAGCCATCTTTACCTGACACGAGGTTTTATAGCTAGGTATGGGGTACGGATACTTTTGACTGATACTGAGGTACGTACCTATGTAGGTAGACGACTTAGGTACGTATCCCTCTTAAAGTCGCATAGATATACTTTGACACCGTCGGAAAAACGCAGTATAACAAGTATCATTCCCGATACTCAACACAATCGAAGGAAGGTATAGAAGAAACACAATGCCATGGGAACAAGGCACCTAGGCAGGCAAACGTAGGTAGGTAGTAGGTGTCTACATACCTAGACCCAGGTACCCAAGGCACCCAAAGCAGAGACCCGCCGAACAGCAACACTGGGGTCATGGTTGGCTCCCCGGATTAAAGGCCGAACCAGCCAAAGCGGCGTAGGAGTCGGTACGTATCTCAGTTATCCGAATGCACTGACAGAAAAGTCCTAACAGACTGGGGCAACTAACTAACAACAATGAGGTAGACTCAGTACCTACACTTATCAAATGGAAAAACAATTAGAGAAAAATACTAAAAAGAACTCATTGGGGGCGTAAAAAGCCCGTGGCCAATCTAATTTTGATTGTGTGAGAAGTTCTATTAAACTACCTTATGCTTGCATGATTGCTGTAAAGTAGGTGGACTAATGGCCTCTGTGGTCGTGGGCTCTACAGTGTCCAGAGTGTCTTTCCTTTTCTGAATTCTATTTTCTTTTCTTTTCTTTTCTTTGTATCCGTACCTAAACCGTGTGGTATGCAACTAATCCAGTCAGGCCACTCCAGAAAGCCGGTCCAAAACTCCAAATGGCGATACCCCCTGTTCTGTTCCAACGACATGGGCGGTGGCAACCTTTCGAATGCAAATGCGAACCTGCAGCGCAGATCGTTCCCCTGTCATCGACTGAGCTGATCAAACTCCCGATTGATGACCGCTTTATTCGTGTACACAACCACCCTCCCCCCCTTTGTCATAGACAGCCGCAGCTCCAACAACCACCCCAGCACAACACACTTGACAGGTCATGTTGCATCACCCAACTGCCAACCTAATTGCCTGCCGGCAATCCTCCAGTTTACAATGGATGCCAACCAGAATAGGTATGGCCGGATGGGCACACCATCCTTACGGGAGCTAACCAAGTCTAATTCGGCCTGCTGCTGCGTGCTTCTCTCATAAACGAACGGGGCAAACCCCGGCATCTTTCTTCCGGCCGCACATGCAGAGTCTCTCCATCGTCAACGGTCCAGCCTCGGGGCCACTGCCATCTGGCTTACATGATGACGACAAGATTTGCAGGAAGCACCTCTATTTCGGTCGCTTGTATGTATCACGAGTAGACACCCAAACCCGGCTTGATGTTGGCTATTCGGACGAAGGGCGATGTGTCTCGGCCAAGGGAAGGGACCTTGTCGACGCATTACCCTTGAGTACTTTCTAGTGTTTCCCAACGACAGTAAGCCTAGGTACTCCATCCGACGGTTCAAGATGCTGCTGGCCTTTCGTCTATATAAGACTCAATTCCCGCCCTTGACATGTGAGGTGCTGTTCGGACAATCAAAAGCAGCAGCAGCTTTCGGACTCGGGCGCATCGCAGATACACAATGGCTCAGTCGCAGCACCTCACTCTCGTTGAATCTAGCAACGCCAAAACCAAGGCCTTCATCATCGTTGGCGGCGGCGTCTTTGGCTTGTCGACCGTCCTCTGGCTGCTCGCCCGTCATCCCGATTGCACCATCATCCTCATTGACCCTACAGAGTTCTCCAACCCCAAGGCCGCCTCTCATGACATTTCCAAGATCCTGAGAGATGACTATCCAAACATGTCCTACGCGCCCTTGGCCATAGAGGCTATGAACCATTGGAGAACCGATGGCCTCTTCAAAGACTTTTACCATGAGGTCGGCGTGCTTCGTGCGGACCCTGGCAGCCACAACGAAAAGGCCCAGAGTACGCATCGCAGTCTCGGTCACGAATCCGGAGCCACCTGGATGGCTCCCGACAAGGTGCGAACTGCGTGGCCTGCTTTCGCCACGACCGACTTTCAGGGGCTTGACCGCGTCAGGTATAACCCCAACTGCGGCTGGGTTGACGCCGCCGACTCTCTCGAAGCCGTTCGTCAGCATGTAGTCAATGCCGGAGCGACCCTCGTGGTCGGCGAGGTCACCACCTTGCTGTTCGACACCGCCGGCGGATGCACGGGCGTCAGGCTGGGCAACGGCGACGAGCTGAACGGCACGGTTGTGCTCTGCACCGGTGCCCGTACCGCTGCCCTGCTCGCCGAGAGTGCCCCTGAACGGAAAGACATACACGCCGCTCACAGACTGGCCGCCACCGGCGCCGTCAGCTTCACCCTTAAGGCTGAAGGGGACCAAAAGGACAAGTTCAGGGGCATCCCCGCCCTCAAGAACACCCTGCCCTCAGTCAAAGGTAAGCCAAACTTGATGGCTTGCTCTGTTAAAGAGAGGCAGGCACTGACGACGACAGGCGAGTCCATGTCAATGACACCGGACGGCACACTCAAGTTCAACTGTGACATGGCCTTCTCGTACAACCAGTTCCACGCCCCTACCGGCACCACCATGTCTTTAGCACCCACGGTCCCCCACCTTACTGAGTGGACAACCGAGGAGCACATTCCCCGTCATCTGAAGGACCGGGCCTACGAAACCCTCAAAGGCCTGTACGGAGATGAGATGGAGGGGAGGACGATTGACAAGTACCGAATCTGCTGGTGAGTGCCATCGTCGCGCCCAGGACGTAGTGACCACGGAGTCTCGGCACGTCTTGACTAACACCACGCGCGCACGCCAGGGACACGACGACGCCTGAGCACGATTTCCTCATCACCCCCCACTCTCAATGCAGGCATCTCTTCATCGCAACCGGCGGCTCCTTCCACGGCTGGAAGTTCTTCCCCGTCATTGGCAAGTACGTCGTCCAGATGCTGTACGGCGAGCTGGAGCCCCAGTACGCCGCCATCTGGGGCTGGGACCGCAAGGCTGGCGGCCAAGTGGCCAACGCGACATATAGCACCGAGGGTGACCTAGGCGAATGGATCAGGGAGGATGAGAAGCAGTAGGCACTTGTCCGCGTGTTTGAGATGGGAGGGGGAAGCGGCTTGCCTGTATGGCGAAGTCGGCGAGTCCTGGTAGCATACCGACGCATCGTCGGCGTCTGATCGGTTGGCCCTTTGGGGAAAAACAAAAACAAAAACCTATCGCCGATGTATAGCAAGGGGTTTTAGGAGCAACAAATTGAGAGAATCCGATCATCGCCCGAGGCCCAACGTGTGTATTGTTTAGTCGGAAAAGACTCCAAGACATTGCATTGACTCGTTCATCACGGGGAGGGGTGTGTATGGCCAGACCCCCCCTCCCCTCGCGTAGACCTCCCACAAAGGGGCGAGGTATGGCATTGGGGGGGGGGGGAAACCATAGGATACGGGGCACAAGCCGTTTTGCTATGCAAGGGGGGAAGACTGTTATCACGTCGACTGGTTGTCTCTCAACTGAACATTGGGGGGGGGGAGGGTGGATGACGATGTCTACTGTCTCAACTCCAAAAGAAAAAAAAAAAGAAAAAAAAAGGAAAAACAAGGTAACATGACCCAACTGTGCCAGCGCCACGCCCACGAGCTCATGTTTGCGTGAGCTTATTTCGGATATACCAAAGGGCGACGACGCTAGACTGGCCTCGGTGGCGTGTGATAACCTGCACTTGTCTTTTTTGGGCACGCGGGTGATGGCGTGTTCGGTGGTGCAGACGTGGGGGAGGAGGACGAGGCTCAGATACGGATGGGATGCTCCATGAACTCCTTCACCCCCCCTTCTGCCATATTGCTTCGAACAGCGTCCCATTCCTATAATGTTCATCCGAGCAGAAAACCGGGCCCCGTTCACCAGCCGAGTATTACAAACAATATAATAAAATAAAACTTTTGTTTCTCCCGGGTTGAATTGCTCCTGCCAAGCAGGTTGGTTTACCTCCTCAAGACCCGGAGATGCATCGACGATGAGGCGGAAAGTAGGCGGATATGTAACGAATATCCTTTCTCCCTCCCTCCCTCTCTCTCTCTCTCTCTGTCTGTCTGTCTGTTTTGTCTGCCTCTCTTATTCGAGATGGGGAAAAAAAAGGCAAAAAAGAAAAAAGAGCCCAAGCGCCCAATTTCTTTTTCTTTTACTTCTTTTGGTGACCCGCGCTCATATCCATGGATATATAACGTATATAACGACAATGAGACCTTCCGTTGCCTTCTGCCGGGGTGCCATTTTCGAGCACTGTAACCTTGAAAAGCCAGTACCACCCATCGTTCATCGCCCTCTCCGTGTATCTCTCTCTGTCTTCCTCTGTCTTTCTCTCTCTCCCGCCTTCTCTCGGCCGCCCCTCACGACGACCCATTGACGGCCAGCTTGCCCTCCGTCTTCTCGAGGTAGGCGACGAGGTCGGCAATGGTGCAGACCTTGAGGCCGAAGCGGCGGGCAAAGTCGATGCACTGCTCGCCGTGCATCATGCCGGCGTCCTCGTGGAGGGCGGCGCCGTCGACGGGGCGGCCGTCGTCGACGAGCTCGCAGATGGCGGCGGCCTCGGGCTTGCCGGCGAGGCGGCACAGGTCGACGGCGGCCTCGGTGTGGCCGGGGCGCTCGCGGACGCCGCCGGGCGGCGCCGCAGGTCCCTGGCCTTTTGGTAACCTTTTACTGACAGCTGCAGCCAAATGGCGACCAGGTCAGCCTCTAGTTTGAAAGGCTCTATGTAACAAGGTCGGAAGAGGCGCGGACTCAGGCGGCGGAAGTCGGCGGGGCGGGATCGGGGGTCGGCGAGGGCGCGGCAGGTGAGGGCGCGGTCGTGGGCGGAGATGCCGGTGGTGACGGCGGGGTCGGCGGCGTCGACGGAGACGGCGTAGGCGGTGCCGCGGGGGTCCTCGTTGGCGGCGACCATGGGCGGGAGGGCGAGGCGGTCGAGGAGGGCGGGGGCGAGCGGGGCGCAGACGTAGCCGGACGAGTGGCGGACCATGAAGGCCATCTGGGCCGTCGTCAGGGCGTCGGCGGCGATGATGAGGTCGGCCTCGTTCTCGCGCGAGGGGTCGTCGAGGACGACGAGGAACTCGCCGTTGCCTTGGGGGAGACATGGATGGTCAGTTTCATGATTGGCTCTGCTAGAGGGGGGGAAATTGTAATGGTTCGTCTGTCTCTCTCGCGCGCGGGCGCGGGCGGGCGGGGGGCATCGATTGGCGGGCAGAGCGCGAAGCGGCTCGCTCGCCGGGGTACACGGGATCGGGACTTACGGAATGCCTCAATGGCGTCCGGGATGGAGTCGAACTTGGACTGGTCTATTGTTGAGGAAGGCATGATTGCGGCTGTGTTTCGGGGGATTGGGGGGAGAGAGAGCGAGCGAGTATGAAGCGGGCGTATGGACTGAGGAGGAGTGGGAGTTGGCGAGGTGAGGTTAAAGGTTCGTCGGCGAAGGTGGTGACTGAGGTGGGGGGTGGCACTGGCGGGGGAGGGGTCGACGCGATGGAGTTGCTGATGCTGCTTGCTGCGTGCGCTACACCAGGGGGTTGGTTTGATCAACGCGAGGGCCGGCCGAGGCGGAGAGGGGCCAAAACAAAAAAAAGGCGATGGCGGTTGATGGATGGGGAATTTTTTCTGGGCCGAATCCGGGTCTGGGTCTGGATCTGGTATGATGCCGGGGATAGGATGTCAAAGTACCTAAACTAGGTAAGATTTCCTACCGGTCTCTGTCACAACGTTTCCTCTTTTTCTCGTACAAGTATAAGAGGGAGAGAAATGGTGCTGATGCGTGATGGGTCGGCTATAAATGCGATGGTGGTAAGGTACGTGAGGAATCGTCCAAATGTCGTCAACGACAAACATCCCGAGGATCGCTCGGCCACATTGTTGGTTGACTCATGCTCCCCTCCCCCCGGGCGTCGGCGTACGGTGCAATTTTCAGATGCGAATCGGCTCAGCCCGACGCGGCGGCGGTTGGTGGGGCGTGGATTATATAAGCCGTCCGCGCTCACGGGAAGCTCGTTCATCTCATTGGTCAATGCCATGATTCCGAGGATAGGTACCCAGGTAGGCACCAGGGGGATTACTGACGCTGACAAACACTCCCGCGCGGCCCCGTTTCCTTTTCCTTATGTAAACCACCTCTTTGATGATTTTCAGCGGATACCTACGTAATCAACACAATGTAGGTATGTGGAAGAGGCCCAGGATGGGATGCGTGCGTGCACTGACGGTTGACGGTCGGTAACAGTGCCGAGTTCGAGGTCGCTGCCGAATCTCCAATTTCTCCAAATCGCATGACCTTGCTTTGTCATCAGCTTTTCTCCCCCCCCCTGGCTAAGGATTCCGAGTCCTTTTACACCCACCTTCCCAGCACTCCACGATACACAATCGCCATGGCACCTTCTCGCCCGGCGACAGCCGCTCTGCTGCGCGCATTGCGGCGGACGACCACCGGTCTATTAGCCCGTCAGACCTCGGGCGCGGTCGCGACGCCGCTGCTCAGGACGGTGCCCGCCCGCCGTCAGAACTCGACATTCTCTTCCGTCTCCCCCGATGAGGTCGAGCACTTCAACGCCCTTGCCGCCGACTGGTGGGACCCCCACGGCTCCTCTCGCCTGCTGCACCTGATGAACCCGCTCCGGCACACCTTCATCCGCGACTGCCTTGCCAGTCAGCCCGATGCTCCCGCCACGCCCGCCCGCTTCCTCGACGTCGGCTGCGGCGGCGGCATCTTCGCCGAGAGCGCCGCCCGCCTCCCCGACACCACCGCCGTGACCGCCATCGATCCGACGCCCGGCGTCCTCGCCATCGCCAAGGCGCACGCCCGCCGCGACCCCGCCCTGAGGGGCAAGCTGGAATACCGCGCAGCCACGATCGAGACGCTTGCCGTGCCCGCAGCGCCCGCGGACCGGTACGACGTCGTCTCCGTGTTCGAGGTCGTCGAGCACGTCGAGTCGCCCGCCGAGTTCCTCGACAGGTGCGCGCCATTCGTCCGGCCCGGCGGGTGGCTCGTCGGGAGCACCATCGCGCGCACGTGGGTGAGCTGGTTCACGACGAACCTGATTGCCGAGGACGTGCTCGGCATCGTGCCCAAGGGGACGCACGACTGGCGCAAATACATCAACGCCAACGAGCTCCGGGGCATGTTCATGGGCAAGGGATGGGAGATGCCCCGCATCGTCGGCGTCGCCTACGTGCCCGGGCTGGGGTGGAGGGAGGTCAAGGGCGGCGAGAAGGTCGGCAACTACTTCTTCGGTGTGAGACGGGCGGCGTGACGAAGCAACATGTCGACGTCCCTCCCCTGTGTATACTATACAAAAATGTAACTGTACAGTAAGGTAGTGCCGGTCATAGATACCCCGAGGCTGACGGGCTGTGTCGGGAACGGTGGACTCTGGAAAGCCTCGACAGTCCCGAACAAAATAAAACCAAGGTATTAAAAATAGAAAAGAAAAAAAAAAAAAGAGCCTCCCCAGAAGCCGAGACGAAGGACGACAATAACAAAACGACCCCGTCTCAAGAGCCGTCGGTGCCATGCTACGCCATGCTAGTATAGGATAGGACATGGGCCCAGGGCGCCAGGTGGCAATGACCCGAGCCGTTCGCGAGGCGGTTTTCCGAGTCGACGTTGTGACATGGAGGAGGGGTGTTGCTGGTTCTGTCAGCGTGCAGCGGGCCTGATTCCGATTGCTAATATGGTTCGGTTCGCCTTACGGTGGTCTGATGTTGGAAAAAGTCGTGACTCTCTCTCTCTCTCTCCCTCCTCCCCTCCGGTTTCAGAAACAATCAGACGCAGGGCCAGGTCTTCGCCACGGCGAACCGGGAGCAGACCCAACCTGCCCCGCCATGTGTTGTGACGAGCATCTATCCATATGCCTGCGCCAAAGTGTTGGCAACGGCCGAACTGGAACATGTGGAGGCATACGTATCTACGTAGTTATCTCATGTACTGCGTTGGCGGTGGTATATCATGGCTAGGTATACTAGATATCGGCAAGTGGCGTTGTGGCAATCAAGCGCCGTCGAGACCAGTCAAATAGCTAAACTTGCGCTTATCTGTGTTATCAGGGCAAACGGCGCATACGTATGTATATACACTACGGATACATGGACCTGATGACCTAGTGTAATGGACCTACTTGTTGCCACAGGCGCATTGGGACGTTTTCTCTCCTCCTAGGGGAATGAAGAAAACAAGACAACCCTTGACATCCTGTCTCCCCACGCACCACACACACCCCCCCTGGTCCCTCATTCGCACGCGGTTTCAGTCATGAGTGTCATGAAGACCACGGTATTTGTAAGAGCGCCATGATACCTAATGGAGGGAGGAGGGAGGGCACCCCGAGGTGTCTTTCTCCGCGGGCGCAACCCGAGCCGCCCGCTGCGGGGCGTGATTCTGCGTCTCTGATTGGCTACTTGGTCTGCTTTATCGTCCGATAGTAACCCATTTATCACCTGCGATCAATCAATCTCGACAAGTCCGTCCACCCCAGGCAATGCAAGCCGTGGCCCGGGCCACCAGAAAGTCTGAAGCCAGCCGTGGAAATGCACCTTCCAGCTGCCGGGCCGCCGTTGTCTCTGTGGCCCTTCGTGGCCAATCAGTACCCGTGACCCCTGGGGCCTGGGGTGAGCGTGGCCCGTCTCGCCGGAGATGCTGTTCCCAGCGGAGCAATCAATCTTGGACTGACTGACTAACTTCATTGTGCGCCGAGGGATAGGCGATGCGTCTTTTATCCCATCGAGACGGCTCGTTGGCTTGGACAACAAATACCAGTCTATTGAGGAAGTCCTGATCCTTTTTTTTTCTTCTTATTGTTTTCTTTCCACTTCCTTCTCCTTTGGTGTCCTAATCTGTATTTCGGCCTTGCAGCTATACATACCCCCCCTTGGTCGTCTTTCGCATCTGTTATAGCGTTTGGCGTCTCCAAGATGGCTGAACGTAAGAGACTTGTCGTTGTCGGCCTGGGCATGGTCGGCATCGCCTTCATGTGAGTGTTGGCGAACAAGGCACACCGGCCGACTGACTGACTTTTTTTTAATTCATCAAGTGAGAAGATGCTGAAGCTCGATGCCCGCGCAAACGAGTACACCATCACCGTCCTCGGAGAGGAGCCTCACCTGGCCTACAACCGTGTCGGTCTGACGAGCTTCTTCGACCACCGCAAAGTAGAGAATCTCTATCTCAACCCTGAAGAATGGGTATGTGCAGTGCCCCCTCCCCCGCCCCCGCCTGCGACCTAGCTCATCGCTGATCCGATGAGTAGTACCACAGCACGCCCCAAGGCTCATTGGGTTACCATGTCAACACAAAGGTCACAGCCATAGACTCCCAGGCAAAGACGGTGACGTGCTCGAACGGCGAGGTCGTGCCCTACGACATGCTCGTCATCTCTACCGGCTCGGATGCCGTCCTCCCTAAACACACCCCGGGCCATGACGCAAAGGGCGTATTCGTATACCGCACCATTGATGACCTAATCAACCTCATCGCCTTCGCCGCCCAGCGAAAAGGCACCGTGGGCGCAGTCGTCGGCGGCGGTCTCCTCGGTCTCGAAGCCGCCAAGGCCATGATGGACCTGAACTGCTTCGACAAGGTCAAGCTGATTGAGAGAAACCGCTGGGTGCTGAGCCGACAGCTCGACAGCGACGCCGGCTCCATGGTCGTGGACCAGGTCGCCGATCTCGGACTCGACGTGCTCCTTAGCAAGCGAGTGGGCCGGGTCGAGGTGACGGGAGACAATCACGTCAAGGGCGTCGTCTTCGAGGACGGCGAGCGCATGGACTGCTCGACCATCTGCTTCGCCATCGGCGTGCGGCCGCGGGACGACCTCGCTCGGAGGGCCGGCATCAAGTGTGCCGACCGCGGCGGCGGCATTGTCGTCGCCGACGACCTGAGCACCAGCGTCCCGGACATTTACGCCATCGGCGAGTGCGCCAGCTGGCAGGGCCAGACCTTTGGCCTCATCGCCCCCGGCGTCGAGATGGCCGACGTCCTCTCCTTCAACCTCACACAGGCCAAATTGCACCAGCCGCGGACCTTCAAGAGGCCCGACCTCAGCACCAAGCTGAAGCTCCTGGGCGTCAACGTCGCCAGCTTCGGCGACTTCTTCGCCGACCGCGACGGCCCGCAGTACCTGCCCCCCAAGGCCGCCCGCAAGGCCAAGAAGGGCGACGAGCGGACCGCGCTAGAGACGTTGACCAACGGCCTGCCGCCGGCCCCGGTCAAGGCGCTCACGTACCGCGACCCGTTCCAGAACGTGTACAAGAAGTACATCTTCACCGAGGACGGCAAGTACCTGCTGGGCGGCATGATGATCGGCGACACCAAGGATTTCATCAAGCTGGTGCCCGTCGTCAAGAACATGAAGGAGCTGGACGTGCCCCCCAGCCAGCTCATCCTCGGCGCCAACAAGGAGGTCGAGGACGACGGGGACGACCTGACGGACGACGTCCAGATCTGCTCGTGCCACAACGTGACCAAGGGCGACGTTGCTAACTCGGTCAAGGACGGCTCCTGCAAGACGCTCGGCGAGGTCAAGTCCTGCACCAAAGCCGGCACCGGCTGCGGCGGCTGCATGCCGCTGGTGACGACCATCTTCAACAAGACGATGCTGTCCATGGGCAATGAGGTCAAGAACTACCTCTGCGCCCACTTCAACTACTCGCGCGCCGACCTGTACAACATCGTCCTCGTCAAGAAGCTGCAGACGCTCGGCGAGGTCATGCGCGAGGCCGGCAACGACCCGGACTCGCTCGGCTGCGAGGCCTGCAAGCCCGCCGTCGCCAGCATCTTCGCGTCCCTGTGGAACCGCCACGTCATGGACCGGCCCGTACACGGCCTGCAGGAGACCAACGACCGCTTCCTCGGCAACATCCAGCGCAACGGCACCTACAGCGTCATCCCGCGCGTGTCGGCCGGCGAGATCACGCCGGACAAGCTCATCGCCATCGGCAACGTGGCGGCCAAGTACAACCTCTATACAAAGATCACGGGCGGGCAGCGCATCGACATGTTCGGCGCCCGGAAGCAGGACCTGCTCGACATCTGGCGCACGCTGATCGATGCCGGCATGGAGTCGGGGCACGCGTACGCAAAGTCGCTGCGGACGGTAAAGAGCTGCGTCGGCACGACGTGGTGCCGGTACGGCGTCGGCGACAGCGTCGGCATGGCGGTACGGCTGGAGGAGCGGTACAAGAGCATCCGCGCGCCGCACAAGATCAAGGGTGGCGTCAGCGGCTGCGTCCGCGAGTGCGCCGAGGCCCAGAATAAGGAGTGAGTGATTCTTCCCCCCACCAGACACACGCACGAGAGAGAGAGAGAGAGACACACACACAGACACAGAGCGAGAGAGAGAGAGAGAGACAGAAGACTAACCCGGTCCTAGCTTCGGTCTAATCGCCACCGACAAGGGCTTCAACATCTTCGTGGCTGGCAACGGCGGCGCCAAGCCCAAGCACTCAGAGCTGCTCGCCAAGGACGTGCCCCCGACCGAGGTCATCCCCATCCTCGACCGGTACCTGATGTTCTACATCCGCACGGCCGACAAGCTGCAGCGGACGGCGCGCTGGCTCGAGAACCTGCCGGGCGGGCTCAAGTACCTCCAGGAGGTGGTGCTCGAAGACAAGTTGGGTATCTGCGCGTCGCTCGAGGCGCAGATGCAGGAGCTCGTCGACAGCTTCTTCGACGAGTGGGCCGAGGCCATCAAGAACCCGGCCATCGCGGCCAAGTTCCGGCAGTTCGACAACACGGACGAGGCGGTTGAGAACATGGAGGTCGAGGTCGAGCGCGGCCAGGCCCGGCCCGTGTACTGGGCGACGGACGCGGCCAAGGAGGACTTCAGGGGCCTCGCGGGCCGGTGGACGAGCACGGCGTGGCAGCCCGTGCTGCCGGCCGACCACTTCGCGGGCGCCGACGAGACGCCCAGCGGCATCTCGGCGACGGTCAAGCGCGGTGACACGCAGCTGGCGGTGTGGCGCGTCCGCGGGCGGTACTACGCGACGCAGCAGATGTGCCCGCACAAGCGGCAGTTCGCGCTGTCGGACGGGCTGATCGGCGAGGCGCTAGCCGGCGCCGAGACGTGCGACGACGCCAAGAAGCCCGACTCAGGGTGCGGCAGCACCAACGGCACCAACGGTACCAACGGCGGTGGCGGCGGCAACGACGCGGGGCGGCGGTCGGCGCCGTGGGTATCGTGCCCGTACCACAAGCGCAACTTCGACCTGGCGGACGGCAGCTGCAGCAACGACGGGGAGCTGAGCATCGCGACGTTCGACGCCGAGGAGCGGGCGGACGGGCTTGTGTACCTGCGGCTGCCGCCGGTCGAGGAGCTGGACGCAGCGCTAGGGACGGCGCGGTGGAAGGTGCGCAAGGGCGAGGCGGGCGCGTCGCCGTTCGAGGGACTCGACAAGAAGATCAACTTCAAGGGCCACCGGGCCAAGAAGCCCGGGGTCCGGCCGATGGCCCCACTTAAGATGCAGAAGCCGGCGCAGCTCCTGGTCGGCGGCGGGGGCGGCGGGTGCGGGAGCGCGCCGGATTGGTAGGGGTCGGTTTCTTTCTTTCTTTTTTTTTTCCCCCACTGGGAAAGGCGTTGGCGGTATCTAGGGATAATGAAGGCATCGAATGGGACGAACAACACGGGAAACGAGTAGGGTACGCAAAAAGAATTCCGGCGTTTTATGGTCTACAAAGAAATAGGTGTCCAGAAGCAGGTTCATGTTTGCGTGATGCCGTCCAGGATGGGGACGATGGCCTGCTACACCAGCAAAAGCGACGAGCTGTCTCGCACTTTGTAGGACAAGTGAGGGCGTGAGACTTGCAAATGCCTCTCTTCCTTTTCTTCTTCATCGACCGCCGTCGGGTCTCGTTCTATCTGAGTTGGGTCGTGGTCCCGCAGGGGGGCGGGCAAAGAGTTCTGGCCCCAGGTATCATCCGTCGTCTACTGAGGACAACCAAATTTTTTTTTTCTTTACTTGAATGACAACAACGGAGATTTAGCTGACCCGTCGGCCAGCGTGTGTACACCTCGGGTTCCTTATGTCACTTCTGATTATACCTTGTAGGAGGGTTCGGGTGCCGCTCATCTTCCCGAAACCTAAGAAACTAACTGCGTGGGACTCGCTTAGATGGTTGGTCGTTCGCCATAGACGAGTAGCTGTTGTCATATGCAAATGGGGTTTCGGATAGAAGCATATATGCCTGCCGACCGAGATCCAGACCGGTTTTGTGTGGGAGTTCCCTGCACACCAGCCGGAAAGATGTCGAAACTCCGTCGGGGTTCGCGTTCGTATTCGTATCCTCGGCGCGGGGTTCGTTTCATGCTTAAACAGAAAGGGCAGGGATACGCTGCCGCCAACTCTGGCTGATCTGCGGCCATCTAAGAAGTATATCAATTTAGGGTATGATCGGAGAGGAAATCGAGAATTGGTAATTAAAATCGGCGAGCCATATCGTGTACTCCGTACAACGAGGCCAGGATGGGCAGCCCCGTCCGCGCTAGAACTAGATTAGTATAGTTGCCTCTGCACAAAATCAGTTCGCCTCTGTACCGCGCTATATTCGCGCAGCGCCACTACTGGACCTCACATAACCTCAGACCAATAAGACGACAGCAATTCAGGCTTACTGTCCAGTAGCTGTCAGTAATTACCTATCTACAGAGACCCACTTTTGGGTTCTGTGGGGTCACTTGGCACTCAATGGGATAGCGCCCATGGCATAGAGTAAAGCGTTAATTATCGCTAGTAATATCTTAAAACTGCTCTGAGCAGTTTTGGGGTTTTGAGTGGTTATTGAGGCGTTATATTTGGCGCTGTGGCTCATATATGGTCACATGATCTAGTACCTAGTACCTATTGCCCATCGCTAATAAAGTCCATCGTCAACAAAGTCCATCGCCAGCAGCCTATCGCCAGCAGCCTATCGCCAGCAGAGTAGGGGAAGGGCAAGGGGTAGAGGTAGGTAATAAGACATGGCCGTTTGCAGTGGACCGGTGGTCACTATTAAGCCTCTAGACAGGTACATAAGCCCCCTGCCCGCCTCCCGCTCGTTAGTAAAGTCCCCTAACCCAATTACGAAAAGTCAATACTTTCACCCATCATACCCTTAACCAATTCACATTCCCGAGTCCTTACTCCATGTCTAGGTAATCCAATCCCAAGTCCTAACCTAAGCCTCTTCCCTAAGCAGAGCGATGCAGCAGCTTATTGGTGCGACTTTTAGTGGAGATTCTGTATGAATAATGGAAATTAAGATGCTGGGGAGAAAAAAGTGGAGCGGAATATCATATCGTACAGGATTGTTGGCGGCAGCTCGTCATGCTCGTATTCGGCAATTCACGGACTTTGCAGTACGTACTGTTGCTGGGTCCCACATCACTGATGCTTCGTATACCAACTGTCCTCGGCTCTCCTCCTCTTCCTCTCTTTTCATTTTTTGAGCCCTCTGCCATACGAAACCGAAACCGCTTCCTGCTATCCACCGCAAAGAGAAGAATCCCAGTTCCAAGCTAAGCCAAGCCAAATCAAGTCAAGCCAGGGGGAACGATAGGGAAACGGAGTCCCCCCCTTTTCCTGTGTTCCTTGTTAGCGCCATGGAAAAGCGTACCCGGCGCCTCGGCCACAAGAAGTCGAGGAACGGGTGTCAGCGGTGCAAAGCTCGCCGTGTCAAGGTACGAAGGCCCCACGACCCCCGTCATGACGCCGTGCTCCCCAAACTCACGTCTCTGGACCACCCGCAGTGCGACGAGGGCCGGCCGTGTCAAAAGTGCGTGGCCCACGGCGCCCACTGCAGCCTCCTCGATCATCCCGCACCACCATTGACGGTGCCGGCCGCGCCACCAGCACCCTCCAAGCCTCCGGAGCCTGCCCCTGTTCGCCCGGCGTATGGCGTTCAGGGGGCAGCGAGCGAAGCGAGCATCACTCCGACAGCAGGTGCGCACACCCACTTCCATGTGCTGGTCCAGAGGCAAAATCTCAAGATGATGCGTGGCCGGCGGCTGACACTCGTTACAAGTGAACAGCACATCATCCCCGTATCTTCCAGAGTCGGCGCCCGATCCGCCCAGCCCATTGGCTGTTGCGGATCCCTGGGACCTCTCGGATCATTGGATGATGAGCCTACGCCTCATGCACCACTATAGCACCAACACCCGGCACATCTTACCACAAGATGCAGGCACGGAAGAGTTGTGGAAGACCACTGTCCCCGAGATGGCTTGCTCGCATGTATGTCGGCACTTTTTCACTCCGACTGCGCCCCGTGCCCGCGTTGCCCCTCCCCTGCATGCTTGTGTGTGAGTGTATGTGTGTATGTGTGTTGGAGAGGGGGGAGAGGGTTGCCATGGCATAGTCCGAGTCCCTCAGATTTACACGTCGGCTTACACAACGGTGATAGAAATTCCTCATGCATGGCCTGCTGGCCCTCGCAGCCCTGCACTACGCCCACGACCACTCCGAGGAGCGGAAGAAATGGGACATCATCTCGGTGTACCACCAGAACATGGCGCTGCGCTTCTTCGCCCTCCGCCTCACCGACATCAACAAGGACAACTGCGAGGCCTACTTCCTCCTGGCCACCCTCATCTTCATCGTCAGCATCTGCTCTGTCGCCCACAGCGACAGCCTGGGCCGGACCGCCTCGCTCGACGACATCGCGCAGTCCTTCATGCTCCTCCACGGCGTCAAGGGCATCCTCAACTTCCAGCCCATCGAGGCCTGGCAGGAGCGCGGCGGGCCCCTGGCGCTGCTGCTGCGCCCCCCCGTGCTGCCGCCGGGCCGGAGCTGGTCGTCGTCGCCGTTCCAGCGCCGCCTCGACGCCGTCACCGCCCTGGCGCGGGAGGTCCCTGCGTCCTTCGAGGCCGTCATCAACCCGCAGTCCGTCTGCGTGCTGGCGCTCGAGTCCCTGCGGCGGACGCACCTCATATGCAAGAGCGAGCTGGGCAGGTCGAACAGCACCTGGAAGTGGTCGTCGGCGCTGCCGGCGCTGTTCGTTGAGATGATCAGCAACCGCCACCCGACGGCGCTCGTCATCCTCGCCCACTTCGCCGCGCTGGCGTGGCCCCGCGAGAAGGCCGACTGGACGTCGGACGGGTGGTGCGCCGCCGTGGTGCGCCTCGTGGACGGGGCCCTGGACGACAGTTGGCGGTCATGGATAGAGTGGCCGAAGCGGAGCGTGACGGAGAGGATCGAGGTTGACGATATGGATGTTTAAATTTGATACCGTGTCTATGTATGCTAGGTTGAGACAAATGAAACCACGAAAACGGTTGCGTACAGTAACACGCCCCCACACACACACACGTTGTGTTACAAACGTGATGCAGCAAACCTCCAAAGAAGAAAAAGGGAGAGAATGAAAGAATCGCAACAGAATCCATCTTTCGGGAACGAGTGTTCAGGGGACAGGTTAGCACAGTCGTTCAAGAACAATCATCGCCATAACGCTGATTTCCGGCACCAGGTCAACATCGCAAGACTCGCATTCGCACCCTGTTTCCACTCCACATCAAATTTTCCTAATCATGATGGTCTTGTTGGGGTCAGGGTTCGACTGGGAAGTGTCATAAGGTTAGCTCTCCGTCTCAATACCGCAAAGGGAGGCAAAAGAGAAAAAGCTTCCCAAGAATGGAATATACTCACCATTGAGCCGGCCAAGACGCTCGGGTACCTCTCGGTGACGCCGTCCGGCAGCCGTATCTCGTAGTTGTGCAGAATGTTGGCCATGATCATCTTGATCTCGTTGACGGCGAAGAAGCGGCCGGGGCAAGCGTGCCTGCCGTAGCCGAACGTCAGGTGGTTGGTGCCGAGGCTGACGAACTGGGCCTGCGTGACGAGCTCGGCGGCCTTGGTGCCGGACTCGGCGTGCGCCTTGCCCTCGCGGAGCTTGTAGAAGCGGAGGGGGTCGAAGACCTCCGGGTCCGTGAAGATTTCAGGGTCGTTGTTGATGCCGACGGCGGAGACGTCCATGACAACGCCCGCGGGGATGGTCTGGCCGTTGGGGAGCTTGAAATCCTTGAGAACCTTGCGCATGAATCCTGCTGGAAGCAGGGGGGCGGAGACAGAAAGGTTAGTTACGGTGGTCTCTCTCTCTCTCTCTCTCTCTCTCTCTCTCTCTCTCTCTTACACACACTCATCTTCACACACACACACACACAAACACATGGATTCCTAATCCATGGTAAGGTGGCCCGAGAACAAAAAAAAAAAAACAGGGGGGGGGGGGGGGGGGGGGACAATAAGTTACGTACAGACAATGAGCGGGCAATATCTCATGCACTCCTTCAGGAAGCTGTCCAGTTTCTTCATATTTTGCATAGCCCCGCTGGTGAATATGCCCCCGGACTCGAGGAGCGCCTGCTGGACGTCTTCGCGCAGCAGGGGGGCTAGCTCGGGCTTCGCCGCGAGCCAGTACATGGCGTTGGTCGCCGTCATGGTGGTAGTGTGGATGGCGGCGAAGCTGGCGGTGAGCTGGCACATAGCGAGTTCTCTGTCGCTGATCGGGCCAATCTTTGTCTGCGCGTTGATGATCCACTGGAGCAAGTCGTCAGGCGGTTGGTAGTTTTCCTTCGTGGCGGACTCGCGGCGGGCCGTGATGATGGGGCGGAAGACTGCGTCGGCAGCGTCCATGCGCTTGTAGAGCTTTCGGGTCTCCGGCAACCGAGAGGCGAGGAAGGGTCGGAGGAAAGCGGGGATCTTTCCGATGGCGACCACAGCTCTCATGAGGTCGGTGGTGTAGTGGATGGAGGCGTCGATGTAGTCCTCGTTGCGGCAGAGCTCGGGGCCAATGAAGACGCGGCCGGAGACCATGGCAACGATGCGGAGGAGCTTGTCGTGGATGTTGACCTCAGTCCATTTGGTGGTCTGGGGCAGCTCAAGGCGCATTGTTTCGGCGACCTCGTCCGAGATGCTCGCGTTTAGCCGGGCTGTTATGGAAAATGGTCAGTGATGGCTGCCTACAGGGGATGGTGTGTGGCGAGGCTAACGTAGAGCCGGCGTCAATGTCGTCTTGACGGCGTGGTGCACGTAGGGGTCGCTGTTTCGAAGGAGTGTGTACTTGGTGAACATGATCTTTGGGAAGTCAGTATTTTCACATATGAAAAGAATAGTATGAGAAGGAGAAGAAGAAGAAGGTATCACTGGGGGGCGGACGGAGAGCTGCATACCTCGCCGATGGCCTCTTTGGAGCTGATGACCTCGTCGGGTTGTTTCTTCAGCTCAGGGAGGAAGGTAGCAGGAACACAGATGTTATCCTTCTCTAAGAGGGGGAAACGATCAGTCCTGTGTCAGGCACTTAAGTGGACGGGGGATCTTTACTCAGGGACGTCGTGACGCGGAAGACGCTGTCTTTGAACTAAACCAGGACAGTTAGGGGTCAAATCTTGGAAAGGATCTCGTTGAGTAGAACCACACGGACCTTCCTGTAGCCATCAATGTAAAGCTGTCTTGCTTTGCCTTGCATGAACTGCTTTCTCCTCTCCGACCTCTTCCCCTCTCCCGTATACGGCACGTTGGCCAGGGGGTCGGCGAAGAGCAATCGCTGCACTATCAGGGCAAACACAACGAAGACGAGGCCGGCCGCGGCCGTGGGTAAGTGTTGCGAGGTTTGGGGGTCTAACACACCCGCCAAGGTGATGGGATGAGTCGCGTTTGCCATGATGTAGGTTTTGTCGTCCTGATGGGTATGAGTGGATGTGGGATGGGTAACCTTTTGGAACTACAGCAGATGAACGGTTCATGTTGAAGGGTGCGGCGGCGGCACCTTATGTACTCACTCATCCCTGACCGACAACGACAACGACGACGGCCAATCGGGCTTGCTGAAGACCGTCCGCCCCTTACGATCGGAGGCATGGAGGCTTCATCGAATAATGCTATCGAATGCGGCCCGGTCCAGCCCTTGCCCCCCCCCGCGGCAGAGGAGCAGAGGCGGCACTTCTTTCCGTGCCGATCAATGCAGAGATATTGTCCATGGCCGTGTCCGAGATTCGTGTAGGCTTAGGCTAGCTAAACTGGTTGTTCAAGCAGGATCCAGGGATCTTCGGTTTCGGTTTCGTATCATGAGAATACGGTCGGATGGACTTCGTCCAACCCCGACTGCGGGATACGACTTGACGAATGCCCCCACATAAATATATGCAGGACAGGTACTGCCCAACAGGACTTCTCTTTTAATGAATATCCCCCCCTCGATTATGATGGTGTCATCTATGGGGGGTAACTCGTTGAACAGGTACGTACTTACCAAGGCACCTTACCTGTATCTAAGCTACTCCCATGTGATTATGTCATCATTGCCCAACCTTTGGGGAAAGCTCACGTGTGCTCAATCTCCCCGTGCCGTGGCGACCGTCAGCGCAAGCCCCTCCCGTCCGTTGTTGGTCTCTCGTTTGTGTGTTCCAAAGAAGATACAAACCATTAAACAGACAAGTTTTCCCATGCTCATATTTGCATCCGACTGTTGCAAATCGTCACCGCTGAATGCGGTCGATGATATACTATCATATGATTCAGACGAGATGCGACGCAACGCGTCTCAATGCCAGTTTCCGAGGATGGCCAACACGTGAGCAGTCAGGTGAAAGGATCTAGGTATCTCCGTTACTAAAGAATCCATCCGATTCTCTTCTCTGGCGAATTGGAACCTTTTGTTCGAGACCCTGGAAAGCGGTGAATGCACGGGACCGGTTCCGGTACCCGACCAACCTCTCAACCTCACCTCATCCCACACGCGATTGATTTGGTTCGAGAACCCCGCGGCTCTCTGTCGCTTTGATGGTGTCGCTACCATTGTTCCACACTACTCTCTAGGCATCCGCTGCTGGACCCTCATAACCATGATGGGCAGCTTTGCAACCTTTGAGGCCGACGGACCTCCTTCGGGGCGTTTGGCATTCTATAGCTATGCCGCTCTTCAACATGTTCTCTCTGGCCCTCATCTCCCTCATTTCTCCCACACCAAATTCGAGAACGCGACCTTGACTACGACCGCTCACCTCGGTGCTCTGAACGTCATGCGCGTCACCGATATCGTGCGCGCCTCCATCGCCGCCTTGCTGGCGTGCCTCGTTCTCGCGAGACCGCTTCTTCGCAAGAGGCCCGCCTGGTGCCGCGGCTTTGCACAAGAGTCTCTGTACTCCGCAGCCGCCCACCCTCCGCTGAAGAAATCCTGGACATTCTGGACCATCTACCTTTTTGCAGTCGCACTTGCTGGCCTCGTCCAGGCTTCTTTGTCTCTTCTCGTGCCGCCGCATCGCGTCTTCTCTGTCCTGGAACTCGTGCCGTCGCTCGTTGCTGTTCTCATCACCGCCGCCGACCGGCCCACAAAGACCCCCAAGACGCTACTGTTTCTCTACTTCACCATCCTTGCGTGCGGCGTTGTCTCGACAGCTTTCAGTTACAGGCTTTACAGGTCCATCCCCATGCTTGTTTTGGCGGATCTCATTGTCGCCTTGGTAGGCATCATCGGCATCCTCGCCATGCCGATGCGGGACCCTTCTCTCGGCGACGATGACGTTGCCCGTAAGGAGCCGACCGACGAGCTCCGTAGCCCCGAAGACAACCTTTCACTCTGGAGATTCATGACGGTATCGTGGATGGCACCGATGATCGCTAGGGGATATGAAAAGCAGCTACATAATCAAGATGTTTGGCAGCTGCCCTTCGACTTCCAACACGAGCGGCTCCACGCTCTCTTCCATGAGCTTCGTGGCTCTATGACGGCCAAGCTATTCTTGGCCAATGGACTGGATCTCATTATCCAGTCATCCCTTGGAACCATTGAGTGCTTCGCAGCTCTCTCCGTCCCTATGCTGTTGCAGCAGCTCCTGCGGGCCATCCAGAGTGGTCCCAGCAATATTGAGGTCTCTGTCTTGTACGCCATCGCTATCCTGGCTGTTCGTCTGCTCGCCTGTCAGGCAGCTGTCTTCCAGCTTTGGTTCTCCCGGCGTTGCTACGAGAGGTCCCGAGGCGAGATGATCACGACCATCTACGCCAAGACTTTGTCTCGGAAACACTTTGGCCAGCCGGCTGGTGAGAAGATGATCGACGACGACGACGGCGATGATGATTACGGCGACCATGGCGACGAAGAGACAGATACCGACGATGTTTCTGCCGACACTGGTGGGCAAACCGGCCGCTTCAGCAGACTCCTGGGCTGGTTCCGTTGCGGGCACTCCGCTCGTCCTAGGTACCAGCGGCTGCAGAAGCCAAAAGCGCAAAGGCAGCCTGCCACCACCGGGAAGATCCTGAATCTCATGAGAAACGACGTCTATGAGATTGCCCAGCGGTTCTGGGAGTTCCCCACAATTGTCACGAAGCCGCTCCAGTTCATCTTCTCATTCGTCCTCGTGTGGCAGCTCCTCGGCTATTCCTGCTTGTTCGGAATGGCTTGTGTTGTGCTTGCTCAAATGCTAAATACCATCTTCATCACCCAACTCCTCAAGAACGAACGCGTACGCAGGGCTGCCACTGATGCTAGACTGCAATCGACCTCCCAGTTTGTCGAGGGAATTCGGCACCTCCGGTGGTATGACTGGCAATCGAAATGGCTGGATAGCATCATGGCCACTCGACGACACGAGCTGCGCACCAGGGTCGTGACGGGGCTATGGAGCATCGCCATCTCCACCCTCAACATCACTTCCGGTACTCTCTTCCCTGTTGCCACGTTCTTCGCCTATACATCCATTGCCGGCAGGACTCTGACAGTTGACGTGGCGTTCCCCGCTCTTTCTCTCTTTACTTTACTAGAGACCAGTTTCAAAGAGTTACCTGGGCTCATCACCGTTCTTTTGAACGCATCAATCGCCATGGGCCGTATCGAGGATTTCATGAGCGAGCCCGACAAAGAAAGCATCTTCTCCGACCACCTTACGAATGACATCAAGTTCACCAAGGCGACGTTTGCGTGGCCCGGATATGAGCAGCCGGTGCTGAAGAACCTCGATATCAGCTTCCCCCAGGGTCTTACCGTTGTGTTCGGCAAAGTTGGATCGGGCAAGACAGCGTTGCTACAGGCGATTCTCGGGGAGCTTGATCGGCATGCGGGCGAAGTCATCATCCCAACCGAACCCATAGGATACTGTGCTCAAAGTCCCTGGCTGCAGCACATGAGCATCCGTGATAATGTTCTTTTCTCAGCGCCTTTCGACCCTACTAGATATACGCAGACGTTGGATGCCTGTGCGCTGCTACCAGACCTGGCAAACTTTAAGCACGGCGATCTATCGGACATGGGCGAGAACGGCATTGGCCTGTCAGGTGGCCAGAGAGCGCGTGTCGCTTTGGCTCGCGCGGTATACAGCCAGTCTCGCGTGCTGCTGCTGGACGATCCCCTCGCCGCACTGGATCACAACACCGCCGAGTCCATCGTGAAGAAGCTTCTTCAGGGCCCGCTTGTGGAAGGCCGCACTGTAGTTCTCGTCACTCACAGAGTTGACCTTTGTATTCACCTGGCTAGCCAGATGGTAGAAATTGTCGGCAACACAGCCCGGGTCCTAAACTCGCAAGAGGCGGCTGCGGAGGTTGCCAAGTTCCTCTCCCAAGATGACGACACCGCGGTGCGCCACGAGGAGCCAGAGCAGACACTCGAGGAGCAGCAAGACGCAGCCGTGCCGTCCAAGTTCGTCGAGGAGGAGCACCGAGCTCATGGAGGTGTTATGATGTCGGTTTACTGGTGCTACATCAAGGCCGGCAAGCTCAAGTGGTGGGCTTTGCTTCTGCTGGTATTCGGCTTGTTCAGATTGGGCAGCCTCCTCAACTACTGGTTCCTGAAGGCCTGGGGGGAGGCTTACAAACACGAGACCTCGACGAAAGGGACGTCGGACGGCATTGGTTTCTCCAGGCTTTTTGACAGACTCCCGGATCCGAACACCGATCTTGGCCCATGGCTGTGGGTCTATTTCGCCATTGCCGTTGCCCAGGCTCTCATCTACACCTTGTCGGAGGGCCTCACTCTGCTCATGATCATAACGGCAGCAAGGGATCTGTTCAAGAGGGTCATCACAAAGGTCAGCAAAGCAACCTTTCGGTTCTACGACGTCACCCCTGTGGGGCGCTTGATGAATCGCCTCGTGTCCGACATTGGCATGATCGACGGAGGCATCATGAGGCCATTGCGCGAAGTCGCCATACAGTCCATCACCTGGTTCTCGAGCATGGTAGTTATTGCCTCCGTCACACCGCTGTTCCTCGTTTTCTCTGTCGGCATGACCGTTTGGTTCGTCTACGTCTTTATGCGCTTCTTGCCCACCTCTCAAAGCCTGCGAAGACTGGAGATGGTCTCTTTGAGCCCGCTGATGTCCAACTTTGGCATCTTGCTCGATGGACTGGCGACTATTCGCGCGTTCAAGGCCCAGCATCACTTCCAAAACATGAACATTGTCGTCACCGATGCCTTCCAGAAGATGGACCATTTCTACTGGAGCCTCCAAGCCTGGCTAATGTACCGATTCGACGCCCTGTCGGCCATTTCTACTTTCTGCCTCACCATCGTCGCGCTCCACAAGGGCCTGTCGCCTGGTCTGACCGCTTTTGTCCTGACCACCGCGTCGGCGTTCGTCGAAGCGACCCACAACCTCTGCAAGCAGTACGGCACTCTGCAGATGGACTTTGTCTCTGTCGAGCGTGTGATCGAGCTCCTGGACATCCCGGAGGAACCCTGTGGTGATATTACGCCTCCAACCAGCTGGCCTCACCATTCGGACGACGTCACCTTCGAAAACGTCACTCTCAAATACGCGCCTCACTTGGACCCCTCTGTGTCGGAAGCTTCTTTCACCATTCCCGGCGGTTCGACTTGCGCGGTCCTCGGCAGGACGGGGTCTGGTAAGTCCACCCTGGCCCTCGCTCTTCTCGCGACTATTCACCCTTCCGAGGGAGCCATCCGCATCGGGAATTACAAACTGTCCAGCGTGGATGTTCACGTGTGGCGACAGCGCGTGAGCTTCGTCGCCCAGGATCCGGTGCTGTTCCCCGGAGCGCTGCGGGACAACCTGGACCCGCTGCACCAGTACACCGACACCGAGTGCATTGTCGTCTTGCACCGCGTGCTCGGTCCCGGGTGGGATCTATATTCGCGCGTCGAAGGCGGCGGGAAGAACTTGAGCCAAGGACAGCGTCAGCTGATTGGTATCGGCCGGGCCGTCCTGAGACGGAGTCCGATCGTGGTCCTGGACGAGGCCACAGCTTCGATCGACAAGGAGACAGCCGCAAGAGTGCAAGAAGTTTTGAGAAACGAGCTGACCACAAGCACGGTTATCACCATCGCTCATCGACTAGAGGCCGTGCAGGACGCCAACTACTTTATCCGTCTAGACAAGGGAAGGGTGGTTGAGCACGGGCCGACGCAAGGGCTCAACCAGTAGAGTAGAGTATAGAACGGACAGCATTGCATTGTTATCTGTATAAAATGAGGTTTAGACCTTTGAGTAGAATAGAATCCATTGAGCTCCATACCCGTGTTCGGCACCGGTCATTGGCATCGGGCCTCGGAAACCGAATGGCACCCAGGTTGCGTCCCTACTCACCCCCCATCCAATCCAACGACTTGCCAACCCTGTCGGGCCAACCGGCGGCACCGGCATTGCAATCGACGGCGGGTCTTTGGAGATGAATGCAGTTCCCCAAGTTCCAGGGCGATCCGATGTGTATAACGCATTGCGATATAGGCCATACAGCCTCAATTCCAGACGCGCCCCCTACGCAGGTTACCCCTGCCATCCCAAGTGTCAAACTGACTGTACTAGTAGAGCAGTCTGTCGGGTTTTCCCGTGGTTGTTCTGGACCCATTCGCTTGGAACGGGCGGGTCCTCATTTCCGGGGTCCCGACGACTCTCCTCGAGAGTCTACGTAGTAATAGCGAACACGTCTTTTCTCTTCTTCTGCCATGACGGGTCATGGCAAACCTTCTACACGACAGGGTCAGCCACAGCAGATGTAGCCTTCCTTGGACGGCCCGAACGAGGGGCGTCGTCGATGTATTCGGGTTTCAAAGAGAAGGTATGAGCGGTTGGGTCAAAGCCATGCTTTTTTGCGCGCGCGAGAATATAGTTGACTGTACGTTTGGGTATTCCCAGGGCTTGCGCAACCTCGTCGGCCGTTTTGCCTCCAATACGGCTTCGAAGGGCAAGAACGACTGCTCGTAAAGTAGGGTCAACGCGCGCCATGACAGTGAAGAAGTTGCGATGGTTGCAAGGCCAGAAAAGTGGTGTTGCTGTTGGTGTTGTTGTTCTTGTTGTTGTGATGAGATTATCCGCACTCTTGCTGGAGAAAGGGGATGAATCTGGTTCCTCTGATTGGCTAGACACAAGAATGGATACACCCCATAGTCAAGTGGTCTTGGCATTTTGGGCTGAGGTAACCCCCAAGACCCCTTGGAACCGTCCAACGGTTGCCGTTTAACCGGATGCTCCCCCCAGTCTCTCCTCAACCCATGGTCTCCCCTCCTCAGTAGTCCTCGCTCAATCCACAGTATTAACTGTCGAGTTGCTGCTGGCACAGTCGGTCAAAGGGACCGCGGGCAGACGGGGCCAGGCCAAAAAAAAAAAAAAAGAAAGAAAGAAAGAAAGAAAGAAACCGGCGCAAAACTCTGTTTAGCCGGGGCTGTTCGAGTCGTGATCCTTGACGACATCTCCTATCTTCAGATTCGGCTCCGCCGCAAAGTAATATAGCAATCAACTCAATACCAGCCCACTGGTACGCGCGCCTGGGGGGGTAGGGAGAAGAGGATCATGGGGAAATCATGAAATGGATGTGTATTTAACTAGATGAATATCCTTCCCCGGACGTTCCGGATTTTGCTCTCCTCCCCTTTCACCCACATCGCACAGTCTCTCACTCGGGTTTCGCTTTTGTCTTTCTCTCACACATTCGTTTTTACCATAAATCCACACTTTCGTTTCCTCTAACCTTTGCTCCCTCGAGATCAACGGCAGCAAATATGCATTTCAACGCTCTCCTCGCCGCCGCCCTGACCGGCTCCGTCTCGGGCCTAGCCCTCCGCCAGGCCATCCCGGTCTGGGAGACGCTGCCGGCGACCCCGGACCTCCCGAGCCCCATCTCCACGGCCAGGACGCCGATAAACGGCATTGAGATGTGGTTCCAAAAGTACAACGAAGAGGCCGGCGGCGTGCCCATCGTCATGGACCACGGCGGCCTGGGCTACTCGGCCTACTTCGGCTCCGTCATCACGCGCCTCGTCAACGCCGGCCACTACGTCATCGCCGTCGACCGCCGCGGCCACGGCCGCTCGACGTACAACGCGGACGACGTCTTCACCTACGACCAGATGGCCGCCGATGTCACGGCGCTGCTCGCCGGCGCGGGCGTGACGCGGTACAACGTCGTCGGGTGGTCCGACGGCGGCATCGTCACCCTCGCGACGCTCCTGGACCCAACCGCCGCCGGGACCATCAACAAGGCCTTCCTCTTCGGCGCCACGGCCAACCCGGAGCAGACCAACACGAGCTTCAGCCAGACGGCCATCTTCTCCGAGTTCGTGTCGCGCTGCGCCGCCGAGTATGCCGTCCTGCAGCCGACGGCCAACTTCACCGACTTCGGCACAAAGGTCGCCACCATGGAGGCCACCCTGCCGCAGTTCACCGACGCCCAGCTCGGTACCATCGACGGCTCAAAGGTCATGATCGCCGACGGCGACCGCGAGGAGGCTGTCAACCTCGACGTCCCGGGCCTCCTGAACAAGGCCATCCCTGGCAGCAGCCTCACCATCCTTACGGGCGTCAGCCACTTCGCGCCCCTGCAGGACCCCGACCAGTTCACCAAGGCCGTGACGGACTTTTTCAACGCGTGAGGAGGGTTCTTCCCAGGTTATCGCTCTCCTTTTCTTTTCCTTTGCTTTGGTTCAGGGTTTTGATACATAGAGGTCTGGGAGGGCGTTTTTTTTTGGTGCCTGGCTAGCCGTGACAGCGTATATTGATGAAATAGCCTAAATCTAAAGACCGGATAGAGACTTTATCTCGGTTCCCGTGAATGCGATGTGGCTATGAAGCGAAACAATAATCAATGGGGAGGGCGGACATGCGGATACAAGGTAACAACAACCAGAATAGGGAGGCTATTATTTTGCGGACGGAAATCGTTATGGATAAAAGTTATCAGCGTTGACAGTCAACAGAACTGGCGGGTCAGATAAATAGTCAGAATGGCTTATATAGAATACTAGCTATGAGTCGAGTTCGTTATATGCCCCAGAAGGGTTGCTTTTGAATCTGGCCATGGTTTAATTCAAGCAACATCAGCCAAGATTGAGCGTGAAGACGACAAAACTGACAGTGGTACCAACAGAGAAAAGGTAAGGTGGTTCATACTGCTTCCTGGCTTTTTTCTCCTCCAAAGTCTTGTGTCATACATGTATGCTAACATAATCAATGTATCAATAGAGATACCGATTCGCTTTGAAACAGTTCAAGCAATCAAAGCACGAGCACTTCGAGAATGAGAAACAAATGTTTATAAATCTCGAAAACAAGGATGGCCTGATCCAGTACATTGGATGGTTCGAAAGTCATGAACGGGATGATGGAGGGCTGGAATTTTACTCCAACATCGTATTGGAACTTGCAGACTTCGACTTCTACGAAGCGATTCGAACAATATCCCCCCCAATATCAGCCAAAGAGATATTGGGATTCTGGAAGACCATAGCGGAGATATCGGGAGCCTTGGCCTCCATTCACACGGTTACTATCGGTGGCCATCAGTATTTGACGTATGCGTCTCTCTCGGTTGGTTTCTCAGAGTTTAACTGCAATGAAAACAGATGGCATGGCGACATTAAGCCCGAAAATATCCTTCGCGTCAACGATCGGTTCAAATTGGCAGACCCAGGAGAAGCTAGGATGCGGCTGAAATCTATCGGAACAACGGGGGACCAGAGAACAAGAGCAACAGGGGGGACGCGGACTTATGGTGCTTCTCTCCCTACATCTTTCCGTCGTATTAGCGATACTGACTGACCTTGACATACAGCCGACCCTGAGAAGGCCGCCTACCTGGATGGTCGGAGCTCTAAAAAGCCAGAAGTTTCGCAGACAAGCGACGTGTGGTCTCTCGGATGCGTGCTTTCGATTGCGGCAACATATGTTGTGCTGGGGACCCAAGGCGTTCTAATCTTCAACAAACTTCGCCAAGAAGCCATTTTCAGAGTTAAAGAAGACTTGAGCGACGCATTTCACGATGGAGAAACTGTGCTTGAGGAGGTCCGGCACTGGCACGACTACTTGCGCGAAGCCGCCAGAGGAAGTGACGTCTACACTTCGGCCGTTCTGGACATGGTTGACAAGCATATGCTCGTCGAAAAAGACAGGTGGTCTGCAAGAATGATTTGTGAACGGTTTGAAGAGCTGTTCGACTCCACCAAATCCGAAGTGTCGCGGGTGCCCAGAAGTCTGCACGACTTATTGCAGAGGATCGACCTCCAGTCCGAACAACGGTTCGATTATCTTCATTCGGGAATCAGAAAGGTAGATCCGGACGACATGGCCAAGCAAAAACTCCGGGTGTCGGAACTACCGCCTGCTGATGTAGAGTTCGAGAGCCGAGAAAAGCTTCTGGGACAACCCATTCAACCAGTGGCTCAGCGCTCACTTCACTCGCGGGATTTATCGAATATTTCCCACCCAATCGCACATAACTCTGTTGTACGGGGTCCTCGTATAGCATCATCCAACAAGTCGAGAATATCCCACAATTCGACTCAGTCACTGTATTCTAATTGGCACACTTCGCATCGCAGTCCCATTACCGTTTGGCAGGTGAAAAGAGAGCTTGAGCAGAAAGGGAAGGGATTCAAACCAAACATGAGAAGCTTCAGCTCCCTGATCAGCAGGCAGCCTCTCGCAGTAAAGGGCAAGAATATATCGGACAAATTGGAGCACTTGGAGCAATTGGATCGGCGCCTCGAGACAGAGTTCAAGAATCGCGATATAGTTGGTCAAAGTCCAGTACCTGTCGTCTGTGACCCCGCTAATAAGAGTAGGTATATCTCGTCGACAATGGCACAACCATGGTTCATCATTGGGAACAGGCGACTCACCTTTTAAAGGTCCTTGTCTGGCGATCTTTGGGGTATGATGACAACGGGATGGAGCTCTACTTTACGAATCCAGACACCAATCCAAAGGCAACGATGTGGGGTTCACAGCAACTCAAACACTTCACAAAGGCCATGGAACTAGCAAATCCAGCTGTTACCAAGTTCCCAGCAGAAGTAGTCGAAACTGCTATTGTGCCAGAGCTCACACGCATCATCAACAGCTACACGCGAGCGAAGACTTCCAAGTCTCCGCCACGCAAGAAGACGATCATCATTCTAACGGATGGCATCTGGAAAGGCATGAAAATGGAACACACCATTGACGTCTATCTAAAATCGACTTTTAATGAGCTGAAGGACTTGCATGGGGACTTGTCATACATACCACCAGGAAAGTCCCACGAGCAAGCGGATATATCTAAGATCCGCCCAGTAACTATACAGTTTGTTCAGTTCGGAGACGACCAAGACGCCAAGGAGAGACTCCGACGTTTGGATGACGACATGAGACTCTATGGCTGCCCGTAAGAAAATGCAAATCAAAGACGTGTGCATTCATGGTTTACTAACCGCCGTCGTAGTGATTTGATAGACACGGAGCATGCAGAAGGTGACATCTATAAGATGTTCCTAGGAAGCTTGTGCCAGGACATAGACGGGCATCCCAGTATCGAAAGACGGCCTAGCTACGTTAGTCAGCGAAGTAGCTTCCCTCACCAGGGTAGTAATCCGCAATCACCCCTGGATTATGGTCCAGTAGGTGTCCCTCGGACTCCGACACGAGCATCACATCGAGCCAGCCAAGCTTCACCTGTTCACGATGAGCCGTCGCCCTCTACCATGCAGCATCATGAACTCCCTGCATCGCCAGGAGACCCAAACAGCCCGCATTTTCCTATTCCCGTTCAGAGATCGTCCACAATCAAGGTGACAAATCCGTCCTCATCACACACTGCTATGCCATCGGATCACACAGGCTCTCTATGGCCGTCGTACTCTCGTGAAGACACAGAGCATGGGCAGTCTCCTGTCACGCCAACGTCATCCAGCTCATCCGCACCACCCATTACACCATCCCGGTCAACTCGACAACAGGCTTATGGGTATGAACCGCATTAGTACTAAAGCCTAGGACTTGTGTGGGGTGAGCCAATTGAGGTTGGAGTTGATGTCCGAGTCTGGTACATATATGACATTGGGTGTCCTGATATATTGGCGTTTGGTGAACCAGTCAGTTACTTTTTGATGATTTTCAAGCGACATGCATGTATAGGCGACACACGCGCTCCTTTGCGAGGATCTGATACCAAATGACTTGGAACACTTGCGGAGTTGCAATGCGTTGTTAATGTATAAACTTAGGTCTTGGACACGGTGCCGTTAGCATTTCGAAAAAAAGCAGCTCGTTGGGATGTTTTCATGCTCATAGGAACCATTCGGCGTGGTGCTCAACCCTGCTCAAGGGCGGATATCAACACGCTCGGGGGCGAAGTATTGTCTTGATCTGTTTGTATACCTATAGGGACAAAATGGGACGGCATTCCTTTCCTCTCCATGGATTATGAAAATTACATCAAGCTTGCTACTACGTCTCTGTTGCTTGAATGGTAGAAACAGCTAGCTATTTATTGTAACTATAGTTCTACCTTCTAGTTTCTTCCTTACTTTGTTTGTCCTCAAGGCACAATCTCCTATCTGGAGCGCCGCCTTGGATACGTATCTTAGCCTATTACGTCAGCAACCTGCTCCGTAAAAGAAGCGGGGGCGGGGCAAAGTGGAGCGGGCGGTGAGCAGGTACAAGTTCGCAGTAGGTAGGTGCATTGGACCCCTAGAATGCTTATCGCACCTTCCGTAGCTTCTTATCGCACCGCGCTAGACCCAGCCCAGAACAGTTTCGTCAAGTCCCTTTTTGTTCCTGGAAAATTTCCCCTGAACATCGCCACTCATCACGGCCTGAAAATTCCCGCCGTAACACTCCTCCCTTCCAAAGAAACCTAACCCCTTTTCCGCCCCAAATCGACATCATGGACCGTAGAGGAAGAGGCTCGAACCAGAAGCGCGGTGGTCCCAGAAGCGGCCGTCGCGATGCGCCGTACAACGATTCCCCCAGATCGGCCGCCCAGTCCGCGCCGGCGCCCGCTGCCCCAGCGCCTCAGAGCACTGCGCCGCCCCTTACCGAGCCCGTCCCTGAGGACACGCCCAGGTTCGCCGATATGGTTGGCGTCAACCCGGCCCTGATCCAGGCCATCACCCAGGATCTCAAGTTCGACCACATGATGCCCGTCCAGGCCGCCACTCTGACCGAGCTTCTCCCCCCCAAGCGCGGCGACTGCCTCGTCCAGGCCAAGACCGGTACCGGCAAGACCATTGCCTTCCTCCTCCCTGCCATCCAGACCCTCATCACCAACAACCGTGGCCGCGGCGCCGGAATCTCTCTCCTCGTCATCTCCCCCACCCGCGAGCTGGCCATGCAAATCGCCAAGGAGGCCCAGGCTCTGCTGCAGCGTCTTCAGCAGTACCGCGTCTGCATCGCCATCGGAGGCACCAACAAGGACCGCGAGGAGAAGCAGATCCTCAACGGCTGCGACATCCTCATTGCCACCCCCGGACGTCTCATCGACCACCTGTCGAACGAGTACATCAAGGAGTCTTTCCGTCACCTCGACACCCTGGTTCTCGACGAGGCCGACCGCCTCCTCGACATGGGCTTCATGCCTGCTCTCAAGGACATCGTCCGCGCCCTCCCCGATAAGGCCCAGACCAACCGCCAAGGCATGCTCTTCTCCGCCACCATCGCCCCTCACGTCGAGCAGGTCGCCGGCCTCGTCCTCTCCAAGGGTTACAAGTTCATCTCCACCATCCCCGCCGGCGAGGCCAACACCCACGAGCGCGTTCCCCAGCACCTCATCAAGGTGCCCACCTTCGCTGCCGTCGCCCCCGCCATGGTTGGCGCCATCCGCGAGGAGGCCGCCCACGTCGGCCCTGAGACCTTCAAGGCCATCATCTTCGCCCCGACGGCTGCCCTTGCCGACTTCTACGGCGACGTCCTCGCCAATGTCCCCGGCATGCCTCCCACGGCCGTCCTGCACTCGCGCATCTCCCAGAGCAAGCGCACCAAGACGACCAACGACTACCGCGATTCCAAGTCTGGCATTATCGTCGCCACGGACGTCATCGCCCGCGGCATGGACTTCCCCGGCGTCACCTCCGTCTTCCAGGTTGGCATCCCCGCCGACAAGGAGTCGTACATTCACCGCCTCGGCCGTACCGCCCGCGCTGGCGCCGAGGGTCGCGGCATCTTCATCGTCGCCGAGATCGAAGGCTTCTTCCCCCAGTGGACTCTCAAGGAGATCTCTTTCGAGACCCGGCGCGCCGACCTCTCGTCGGCCGAGCAGGTTTACGAGATCGCCGAGCAGCGCATCGACGAGGCCCAGAAGGCCAAGATCTACCAGGCCTGGCTGGGTTACTACAAGAACTGGATGAAGTCCCTCAAGTGGGACAAGGAGCAGCTCGTCGCCGAGGGCAACATCTTTGCCCGCGACGCCCTCGCGGCGCCCGAGACTCCCGCCATCCAGAAGAGCACCATTGGCAAGATGGGCCTCCGCGGCACCAGAGGTCTTGTCGTCATCCCGGATGCGCCCAAGGGCCGCCACGGACACCGCGGCGGCGGTGGCGGTGGTGGAGAGGGTCGCAGCGCTGGTTCCGGCGGTCGTGGAGGTGGCGGCGGCGGCCGAGGAAGACGTGGCGGACGGTTCTAGAATTTCACGACTCGATGCTATGGTTTTTCTTTTTTTTTTTTTCCCTTTTTACCCACGCATTTTTTCTGGCGGTCCTGAGCTTGTTTACGCTACTACAACTTGATACCCTCATACATCTGTACGACGGGGAGACGGGGAATACATAGACCTGGGTAGGGGGCGGGGATAATAAGGTGGACTGGCGTTCTTCGGTAACTAGACATGGTTTTCGGTTTTTTGCGATATCAAAAAACAAAGTCGGGGGAAAGGACGTCAAGTCAACCCATCACGCAGTGAAAGCCCTCTCTGGTTTTTTTGCAATACGTACGGATAAGAAGGAGAGTCTCCAAAGGGGCTTCTTTTTTAACTGGTGGAAAGAAAAGAGTTCCTAGTCGCAGACCGTTCGTGATGCCCCCCCCAATTCAAATGTGTGTGCGTGTTCCCTCCATCTCCTTCTGTAGAGATTCCAATCCCGAGCCAGGGATTTTTTTCTTTTTCTTTATCCGACCGCCTGCATTATACACATGTACCGGGTGAACTGCACCAGGACGCTCATGGGAGTTTTCCAGAGCGAGTATGTTCCATCGACATATAGACTCTCTTTCCCCACCACGAAGGAGGACACACATCGCGCGACGACGGAAGGGAGGGGCAGGTACGTTTCACCACGCGAATCCGGACCTTCTACTACCTGTGCCGGGTGTCCGTCAAAAACCAAACACACACACACGAACTCGGCCTCGACTCAATCCGGAACACGGAGGTGCCCAAACAAACAATGGTATTGTAGAACAGTGGTGAGGACATTCATTCATCATCGCCGGTTATACATGTGACGACACATGGGTAGAAGAAGTAGAGAAGAAAACCAAGAGCCCAAAGCGTCGCCGATCCATCCGGCCTGTGGTCACTAAGAGACCCTCCCCCCCTCCCCCTCCCTCTACGATAACTTGAGTTAAGATGTTTTGCCTCTAGGGGAAGGAAAACCCTCCCCGCCACCAGAGCCTGTCCCCTCCCCCCCCCCCCCCCCCCCCCAAAAAAAAAGAGACAAAAAAACGTATCCTTCCCCTTGGCCGACTATCCCACAACTTTTTTTTTCCCTCCCCGTTTTGCTAGAAAGAATAAAATAAAAGATTAGCATATAGAATGCTCCCAAGTTCACACCGTCGCCCAGATGATCCAAAAAAAAAAAAAAAAAAAGGTTGAATATGAGTACAATAAACCGGCTGCCAGTCCGTCCGATGCGGTGCCGTGGCTTGCTTTGCCGTACCGTCTCGTCTCGCCTCGCGCACCAGTCTGTGAGCTGGCTCATGTCCCCAGCCATAGGCCTATCCTACCCCCGTTTTGGTATCCGCCGTTCTTGTCGTCTCTCCTCGGACCATAAGGTCCGTCATCTCCTGGCTCAAGTTGATGCGGCTGACGCTCGACCATGACAGGGTTCGCTCCGCCAACGGGGCCTCCCACACTGGCTGCCATCCGTTCATGCATCAACATTGCGTTGCCCATGTCGGTGTAGCCTGGCGGCCCTCTTTCTCTCTGCGTCGCGAATGGCCCGGTGCCGTAGTCTGTGTACTCTCGCGGGCCCGTATCGCCGCTGCTGGGGCTCCAGTTCGTCTCGAAAGCAGGCATGCCCATGGTCGCCAGGTCAGATGTATTGCTTCTTGTCAAACCTAGGGGGCTCATCAAATCAACACTGCTCGTGTCCATGTCTACACCAGCCAGACCGCCAGTCGTCTCTCTGGTGCCGAGGTCGATGCCCATTCCCATACCTTCCATGCCGGGCTGACGAGGCACCGGGGTGCCGCCCATGTCCAGTCGCTGCTGTTGCTGTTGCCGTTGCTGTTCTTGTTGATGTTGCTGTTGCTGATGCTGATGCTGATGATGCGTGTTGCTGTTGCTCTCTTCGTTCTCGTCAAAAACCTCACCAACGACGCTGCCCCGCTGTTGGCCCCATCCTGCTGCCTCCACCGCATTGGGCCCTTGTTGGCTGCTAGCCATCATGGCGGCCGCCGCGGCCCCCATCCCGGACATGGCTGGACTGAGCTGCGTTCTCATGCTTCCAGGATTCTCCCCGGCGGCGGTGAGCAGCTTCTCGGCGAACTGTTTCCGTGAGTTGTCGCTCGCGCTCAGTGTCCGGACGAAAAATTCAATCGGGTCCAGACTAGCCCCTTTCCTGCCGCTGCCTAGTACGCCCATGTCGCCAGAGGTGAAGTCCATGGCTGTCGAGAAGCCAACGCTCTCGCAGGCGCCCAGTACGTTGACACACCATGTTCCGATTTCGTAAATCTTTTCCATGATGCCCATGCCGTGCACCTCGACGGCTTTGCTCGGCAGGCTCGACAGGATCGAGGCGGTATCGCGCGCAACTGTCAGCGGAAACGAGAAACACATGCTGTTTCCTTCTCCGGCTCCGGTGTCCGATGATCCACCCACACCCGAGTCGGCCGGATTCGTCCAGCTCAGCAGACCTTGCCGCATAGACGATTGCCAGACAATGAGACGAAGCCATTGCTGCGTGATGAGCAAGTCCGCCTTTTGGATATCCGTCGGCTCCGGCGCTCCCGAATCCCCGGCGGCGGCGGCGGCAGACCTTGTGCCGTAAGAGTCCATAAGCTGCTCGTGCTGCTGCTGCCTCGGCGTCGACCGCCGTCGGGGACGGAGAAATGCGGGCGGCAAGGCGAGAAGGTTTTGCAGCGCCAAAAACGTCGTCGCGCTGACGCGGGGGTCGGAGCCCTCATTCCATGCCGTGACGAAGGATTCGTCTAGCGGAGTGTACGAAGAAACGAGCTGCAGGAACCCGGCGTGGATGTCTGGAGTTTCGTAGGGGTGCCGCGTTGTTGGCAGCGACGGCGTCCTCTTGAACGTGATTGGTTTGTTGCGCAGAATCGCAAACGACCTGTGTGCCGCGAGGCCTGTCAGCACTGAAATGCTCCTGCGACGTTGCATTCTCGATGGACGTCGCCTGTGCGGTTCGTTACCCACCTTTCCGTCACGAACAAGATCCAAAAAACCCTCTGCCGACAAAGCGTCTCCTCGCGGCTCAGCCCGTAGTACGTCGAGTCGTCCTGCAGTCCTAGGTCCTGTGCGTTTGTCAACGCTTCTCGCAAGTAGTACCACGATTTGCGCGACTGGTTAATCTCGAAAAACGACGTGCTGAGGTAAAACGACGAAATCACGGCAAACAGGGACAGATCCTCCAGGAAGTCGTACGAATGCCTCGTTGAGATGGTCTCGTCCAGGAAGAAGCGGCCGACGACCTCCCACGATGTCGGGCCCGGTGCACCTATGCTCTTGCCAGACATGTGCATTGATGTCAGGGCGCACAAGGCATAGACCAGGTTCTTCTCGCTCGGCGCCATGGGCCGGCTGATGGTCTCGCGGATCGATGGCATGTAGATGAGCGGCATGATTGGGTAGATGTGTTCGTAGTATAATTCGACCAGCTGCGGGATCATGTGCAGATAGCTCCTCGTCCTCGGTCGCAGCTCATCGCTGGAGAACATGCCTCTGGGCTCCGGTACATTGTTGTGTGTCGGGTTTGATGTGACGGCAGCCCAGAAACCCGGCGGGGTCGAGGCTGCGGAGGCGTTGGAAGAATGAGACGCCTCTCCTAGGTCGCTACCGCTCATCCCGATGTCGGTGCTGTCCACGTTCAGCGGCGGGCAGGCTGCTGACAACCGGCGTCGCACATACTCTGTAGGACTCTCCAGCTCATTATCTGCAATGAAATGTTTCTGGCCCGCCAGCGGTTGCTGCAGTCTGTGTGACGACTCCCTCGCGCGCAGCTCGTTTATGACCCGCCCATGGCCGCGCTTCGGACCCCTCTTCTTGGGGACATGCTCGCGCTTGCAGGTGAGAGAAGCGTGCACGCATTGCTCACAAGGAAACTTGCCATCGCAGCGAATTCCTGAGAGACAGTTAGCAGCTGTCTCTGCGAGTCATGCGTCGGGAGGGGCAGGGTGTGGCAAGAGACATGAGTTGTGATGATGAGAGAGTGTGGTTGGTGATGATGGATGGTGGATGGGGAGAGCGATAACGTGCAACGGCAGTGGCAGTGGCTGAGACGGGATGATACCATGAAGGCGGCATATGGATTGTCCAGGCGGCAGACTGCTGGGAAGAGGTAGGATCGCACGGAAACTCATGGACGCGACAACGGGTAAAGCGAATCAGGGAGTTGGATGATAAGCAATGGTATGGTATGGTATGGGGGAGCGAAAGTGGAACATCGTACTTCTCCGTCGACAGTGATCGCATACTGTTCTCTTTGGCGGCGCTGACTGTTGCGGCGGCGGCGGCGGTGGTGGTGGTGGTGGTGGTGGCGGCGGCGGGCTTTGGGTGATGGACGCGTCCGGTGACTCGGCCTTCACTTCGGCAGAGCTTGTTCTGCTCGCAGCATTTCTCGCGGTACTTGTATCGTCCATCACGGACACATGACGCACCGGAGGATTGGCAGGAAAAGGGAACGGGTGGGAAGAATCAAGGCAAAGAGGGGAAACTCTTGTCACAGGGGGGGGGGTCGGACGTCAAAAGGTTTGAGCGAGGAATGTCGCGGTGGAGAGAGGATTTGCAGCCCAGGAGAACGCAGTGTTAAAGCAGAGAACAAATCTCGACTCGAACAGCGCTTCGGGTGCAGCCTCCCCCAGTCCAACCCAGTCCACTCTCGGCTACCCCTGCCTCTCACAAGCAATGAGAAGAGATGGGCGAAACTGGAAGTGTTTAGCTAGGTAGGCAGGGTCGGTATGGCGTGCGCCAGCGTACGTGATGAGATAGAACGAGAAAGAGAGATAGCGAAAAGGAGAGGGAAAAGAAGAAGAAGAAAAAAAAGGCTACGCAATAGGATGCAGGCAGGCAGGCAGGCTCTTGGCGTGTGCGTAGCGTGGCGTCTAGGTCGTCCGTCGTCTCGTGGGCTGAAAATACGTGTCGGCAACTGAAGCTGATGGTGCGTGTGAAGTAGTTGTTGGCTAGTGCTCGAGACTGAGAAGAAGGGGGGGGGCGGGCGCGAAAGAAGAGTTGAGCGTAGTGCTGGTGCCGCCGCCGGGTCAGCTGATGAAGTCAGGATGATGGAAGTTGATCAGACACAGACACGTTTGAGCATGTGCGGGGGAAGAGGATTGGAACCTAATCAACTTCGGACGAGCAGCGCAGAAAGAAGAGAGAAGAACAAATAGTTTTAGCGCGTCTGCGATTCCCCTTGCCTTCGCTGAGCCGAGAAGCAGAGGTGAAAAAGGCCAGGCTGAGTCGGAAGGGCATCCCGTCCCGGCCTGGCGATTGCCAGGGGTCTCTTGCCATTTTGAACCCAAATCGATGCGCGGCCCTACTACGGCCCCTCTGCCTTTTGGCTGGCTCCTGGAGTCGTGCCCCGCAATACCATGCAAGATGCAGCTGCTTCTCCACTGAGTAGCGCAGAGCGGACCTTGCCGCAGGCACCATCCCCGCTGCCGCTGACCATATGCTGGTCTGTTAGTAGAGGAGGAGCCCGTGGAACCTGCTTATTTCCCCTTGCTTGCTTGACCTTCTCGAGTCGCTCGAGAAGCTCGAGATTATTGCTTGAACGGGTTGGGAGCTCATCAACGGAATCATGCTGACGATACCACGTTCCAATGGTGTGCTGACATTCAGTCAGCCCTCTGGCTGGCCTGTCCCAATAGCGCACCTGGCCTAATGGGGCGCCTGGCCCCAACTGCCGCTGCGAACTGTTGGGCCAGAATGGCCATGGGCGGTGCTGCTGTGGGCTGAGACCCGCAACTAACAATATCAGACATCAAGCCACTTACTTACCGGATCGGGGCTTCCCACACAAACTTCCCTTAGGTATTTACCTGTACGGCCCATTTTCACGACTGGTCGAGGTAGTTGTAGTGGTGGTGGTAGGTGCGCTGAAGAAGAAGAGGAAGAATAAGAAGAAGAAGAAGAAGAAGAAGAAGAAGAAGAATAAGAAAAAAGTGTCAAGTTGTCGATCACTTCCCAGACTAGACGTGCCCCAGCGGGGATTTCTGGGCATGGAATATTCGATCTGAATGAATCGCAACCAGGGTGGTCGCCGTCCTGTTACATACCGGCAAGGGACGCACGGCCTGACGATGCAGTGTTTTTGCACGCCAGGCTAGCGCCGCCTACTACCGTCATATCGTAAATGGGGTGGTGATTTGCCGATGCTTCCATGCAATCTCAAATCCGGGGAAGCCGATGAGGGTCAACGGGCGGAAGGGATCAGATCGTCTGGACGGCAACCGAGTGACTCAGGTTGTCGCCAACTACCCGTTTCACAGAACGAAGCCTCGTCGACGAAGCCATGGATCGTCTTGCTGGGCCTAGCAACAGCAAAGACCTTGGCCGCGATGAAACACTGTGAATGTTGCCGAGATGCCAAAGAGCCTAGATTCCGTCCCAAGCAGTCTGTCAATCTTGAGATGAAAGCTTGAGATGTCGTGCAGAACGGTGCTCCATGATTACCCATGGATCAATCCATGTTCCCGAGCAGATCAAAACCAGTGGCGCGCCTTCGTTGCCAACCACTTCGGTATCGAAGGACTAGTCGGACTTGGCCGTGCAAAGAATTCCTTCTTCAGTCCAGGAGACGATGGGAGAGCCAAAGTCGAGTGAATTATTCCATCTTGAACACTTGGGTGGGGGTGCCGGATACAAGTATGCCAGCCAATTGAGGATGTCATGGGCTGTCGGTAGCTAGAAGCTCCTCGATGCTGGAACGTCCCCAAGGTTGGATTGACCCAATTTAGACCTTTAGCATCGAGCATTACCATTCAAGGCGCTCCCACGTCTTCCATGAAGCCGTGGCCGCATTGTCTTGGCGCCGGCACACACACAAATGAAGACCTTTGTTTAGAGGATGTGACCAAGTGCCGCACTGCCTAGGAAGACGGCACTGCTAAGATCCCTGAGCCCCATTTCATGAGGTGAACAGAAGAGAGTTTCAATCTAGTCATGTTGAGGTCGCCGCCGTCCACTTTGGTCTGGATGCTTGCACGGCGGCTCCCTGAGGCGTGTGGTCTATGTGGCTGATTGAGACAATTAGCAACAAGCTGGTCGTAGATCGTAGTAGCGTGGTGAGCAACAGTGATCCTCATGAACTGCGCGAAGGGTGTCCCTGACCCGGCTTTGACGGCAACGAAGCCAACGTACTATATGCCCATGTAGCTCTGACGAGAAAGAAAGATAAGCCCGTAAACGATGATCTAGCCCCCCTAGATCGAAGATGGGATGGGTTCCTTGGCCCAATGGGCTTGTTGTTACCCCTGGACAGAGACTTCTCGCGCACTCTCAGGTACCGGAAAGGCCTTGGATAAGATCTAGGTTGATCCTGGGCGAGGTTGGTACAACTCCCCAGACAGGGCGAAGATCAAACCATCGGGATTGCTTTTTTGGAAATGGGGCCACTTGCAGTCGGTGACGATTCAGGAAGCGCTCCGGATACCGGGGATGACAGGACACGGAGAAAAACGCTTTGATTCGTTGGGTACGGTGGCACGGTTCTGATTTATGCTGCGATGGGGGATGGATCCATCGTGACCAGCGAGGGACGTGGTCTAGATGAGCGAGTCAGTAAAACCGCGTTATTGCGCAGCCATGCTTGGGTGACTGACATCTGGAGCCTCCGTTCAGACGCGCCACGAGAGGAGGAAACCCGGGAAATGGTCAGCGGTCCTCGACCTCGCCGTGGCAGTAGAAGGAAATAAAACGGGAGACGACGCGGGGCGGGTCCGGGTCTAATCAGTATCCCGGACCGATATTGCAGAATGTCGTGATCAAAAATAAGAAACAGAGCAGCCCAGGATATGCCCTGCCTGAAGTTGTATTCGCCAGGGGGAGCGCCTTCCGTCAACTCCCGTGCCAAGAGCAGTGGAATGTGGAAGGAACCGTCAAGCCGTGTTCTGGAAAGTGGTGATGTATGTACATATTGGGTAGTTTACATGGTTGTGCCTTCCTTGTGGCCCAGGTGGGGAAAAACGGGCAAGGACAATGCGGCCGGCGGCAGGCAACAAGTGCGTGCCTGGGCAGGTGCCCATCCAAGAAAGAACACACTCGGAACAGAGCGGGATGTTAGTCGGAGTCCAGACCAGTCTGAAGGTCATATCATGTAACCTTTGTACCCAAAGGTACCCAGGTAGTATACCAAACTTTTTGGTGACATGGTTTGAACAAGTGTGGATGGATGCGGGAATTACGAGGCATTCACGCTTGATGATGGCCGTCCAACAAATATATGTATTTTTTTCATTCCAACTCGAGTTGGAATCCTGCCTTTACGGGAAACCGTGATTCATCCATCCTCTGTGACACCCTAGGGCATTGTGATGCCGCGATGAGGTTTTATGTGCTCTCCGACAACGATCCAAACGCCTTTGGGCCACTTGGCTCTCCACGATCCATCGGTTCCTTAACCCACAAGATATATACAAATGGGGAAAAAAGTGATGCTTCAACAAACATGGTCAAGGTGAGGTCGATGGTCACGGAGAGGGCCTAGAGCTAGCCGAGCCGACGGGTTCACAAAAGCACACACATCTTTGTTCCTCGATGATGCCCCGGTGTATCAGTACAAGGTCACAAAAGCCCAAACGCCATTGCTGTCCATCTCAATAGGGGGAGGGGTCTCAAAGCTCCTCCTTGAAGAAATGCTCCTCGCTACCCTCCTGCCCCTCGCCCTCCGCCGCGTCCTTCGCCTTCCTCTTCCCCTTGGCGGCGGCGCCGTCCTCCTCCTCCCCATGCTGCCCCCCGGGGCCGTGGTCCACGACGCCCCGGATCTCCCTGGGGTCGCCCGGCTGCTCGACGACCTCGAGCTTCCAGCCCTTATCGCCGGCGATGCGCTCCAGCTCCGCCCGCATCTCCTCCACGAGCTCCGGGCTCAGGTCCAGCTTCTTGAGCTCGCTCTCGTCGAGCATCTCCATCGTGCCCCCCTCGGCCTTGCTCTTGGCGCTAGCGATGATCTCCACCAGCGGTCCCTGGCCGCGCCCCGGGAGGTAGCTGCGCGGCGGCGCGAGCTTGGCCGGCGGCTTGCCCTCTTCGTCGGCGTCAGCGAGCACCCTGCGCGCCCCCACGATGACGCCGCCCACGTTGACGCCCTTGGCCCCGTCCCTGGCGTTGGGGTCGTGCTGGTTCCTCCTCAGCGGCTCCAGCTCCGGCTCCTCCTGGGCCTGGGCATCCAGCTCCTTCTCCGACGTTGTCGTCGTCGACGAGAACTCCTCGGCTCCCAACGCCCGTTGCCGATGCCAGTCGGCCTGCGCGCCGGGGTCGTCGGATGGGAGGATGGGCCGGCAGCTGATGGCATTGGCGCTCGTGGCCTGCGGCGGCAGGAAGACTTCGTCGTTGCAAAGCCGCGGGGTGTTGACGACCATGAGGTAGGCGCACGTCGTGACCTCCTTGATCCAGCCGATGCGGTCCCCCTTCATGCCCGGGACGCAGTGGTACTGCACCTCGACCGTCCGCTCGCGGCCCGTCAGGTCGCAGAGGGTGCCCCCGTCCATCCTCTGGACCAGGTAACGCTGGTCGCCCTTGATTTGCAGATCCGTGTTCGCCGGCGGGTCCCCGGACTTGGTCGTCTGCTGCTTCTGCTGCTGCTGTCCGCCATCCTGTGTCGGCTGTCGCTGGCTGGGCGATTTGTGCACCCTGCCGAGGACATACTTGGCCGTGTGGGGGTCGGGGACCGGCGGCTGCCCGTTGGGGACCGTCGGGAGAGCGTGGAACTGGACAATGTCGCGGTTGTAGCAAAAGCTGTAGCTCCACCATCCAGACATAAAGTACAGACACTTGCCGTCCAGCTCGCCTAGGAGCTCCCAACCATGCGCCGACGCCTTGGCCAGCTCCCGCGCCTCCTCTTGCTTCGCAAGCTCCGTCGCCGTGTGGTTCTCGGGCGTCTGCGGCTCCAGCACGGGTATCGAGCAGAGGTATCTCGAGTTTTGCGTCTTCATGATCTCGTACTTCTCAAGGACCTCCGCGGCCGTGCCGCTGCCGGCGTTGTCGGCGTCGCCGGCCTCCCTGATGTTCTGCGAGATGTCGGAGGCCGTCGAGAACTCGGCCGAGTACGTGGAGTGCGGGTTCGCGCGGTCCAGGAGTGCCTGCGCCTCGTGCTCCAATATGAAGGATTCCGGAAAGACTATCTCGTACTGCGGGCGCGTAACGCAACAACCGGTCAGCATGGTCGGTCACTGGGGGTCTTGGGCTTCGGACGAACCTGGGGATAAGCTGCTAGGTCATCGTGGATGCTGAAGCCGGGATGACGAGCCCCGCACAGCTGGGCTGTCGCCAGCAAAACTAGATTGATACGGCGCATCATGCCGTGGAATTGAATGTTTCCCTCACATGTAGAGGAGACGAGTTGTTGTAGAGAATGTGCCAGCCGCTCGAGTGGCCCGGTATCTTGGAAGCTGCTCAGACAGACAAGCGCGCACCGTTCTCCGTGGTTCCGTAGCTCACAGGTGTCATCTAGCTAGGTGCCAGGTGTCACTGAGACGATTATTACCGATGTTCTGCCGGTTAGACCGGTGGAGAACCTTCCGATAACCGATAAGAGCTGACCTCACGTGCCGCCGCATTACCTACCTAACCCAACCCATAATTGTCGCCCACTGCCAGCCAGCTGGCATCATCAAAGGTACTTTCAGTCAACATGACTTCATCAAACGTGGATATGAGCGTAAATTTCTTTTAATTAAAAGCTCAACATCAAACATGCTTTGAATGGTCTAAAAGTCCTCTGGATCCATCGGGAGATGACGCACCCATAGACACAACGAGGGATAGTGCCTGCGTCGTTCTGGCGTTACATACCTAGGCTCTCTCTGAGGCGGAGATACTGCATGCAGATGCTGTTATCATTCCCTCGGGGGCAGTTGAAATTGCAGTGCAGCCGGCATCTTCGCCGGATTTGGCATGATGCATCATACCAGCAGCGCGCTTGCGTACCGACTCAACGGCAGGGGATTCGAAGCGCGAGCAGGCGTCCACCCGTGACTGGTCCATCATCCTTCCCTGATATCAGAAAGCAAGTTTAAGAAGGTACTTGCGTGTGTAAGCTAGCCTCTGGGGCCCGTTGTCCTCCAGTCTCGGCTCAAAGTATTCTCACTCGACTGTCGAGACCGTCGTCTCTGGGCGAGTTTTATTTTGCACTGAATTGTGTTTCCATTGGACGAAGATGCTGAATTCCACGCCGCACCGGATCCAACCGCTGGCCCTCGATGCTCCCAAGAAGCTGACCGCAGCAGCGGCGCCGGGCGGCAGCTAGAAGCTCGGTCTGTCTGTGGCCGCCTGATCGGCCCAACGTTAGGCTGACAGGCAGCTACTGCAAGACTGACACGACAAGCCGCGCCGTTGGGCAGACTAGAGAGGGGGAGGGGGGGACGAGGCAGAGGCTTTTGCGCAATCGGCGCTGCGGTGCCTATGCGATGCGATGCGATGCGATGCGATGCCAGGCCAGGCCATGCGGACCATCTGCGATGCGGTCCGGCGCCGAACGGGCACAGATCCCATTCGGCGGAGGGGACGCACCCTTCACCAGGTCCTACCCTATGAACGAGGCCTGATAAATGTGCCTTGGGCAGACGAAGCCCAAAGGTGGCCTTGAATATCACCCGGATTGGATAATCATGTCCTGGCGGCAAGGCCCTCTCTGTCAGTCTTGCATCTTGTCTCTCATGTTCGGTGGCTTCCACCCTCCCCCTCTTCCCTCTCACCGAGAATGGCCGTGGCGAGGATCGACCAGACAAACAGATGCCAGTATCCGTTGAGGATGCGTGACGCGCTTTTCCGATTGGAGAGAATCGGCGTTGGAAAGCAGCCATGCGTTTCCATGTGTGTGTGCGCCATGCAGCCGGCTTCATGGGCATTGTATGGCGTAGCGCACAGCCTCCGCACAGGAGGACGCACGAGTCTAGTAGGCTTCCCGCGCTCAGCATCAGGAGTTGAGATATGGAATTACAGACACGACCCTTCAGGGACACGGGGGAAAAAGAAAAAAAAAGAAAAAGAAAGAAAAAGACGACAAAAATGATCGACAAAATCAGGACGATCATGCGGCTCTCAATAGCGCAGAAGCCGGCGCGCCTCTCTAGTGCGTATCGTGTACCTGTGCGATTCCCCTATGCCACTTGGCACATGGACTGCTTTCACTTGAAGTTGCACCGCCGGGGGTCTGACGACCTTGGAGGTTCAGCGAGATGTGGATGAACTCCGGGGGGGCGGTAAGGGCCGTGGCGTCGTTTCAGTGCAACGGTGGCATTTCGCAAGACGGTCCAGAAGCGACGATAATGAGGGGCGCGGAGGAAAAGGCGAAATGAGCACCAGAAGCCCGCCACGTTCCGTGTTCCAGTTGCCGTTGCAACCACTGCGGTCAGTCGTTGCCGTCGTTTTCGGCGCGCGTGAGTCGCGCCGTGAGGCCGAAAGAGCTGCGCAAGGGCCAGCCATTCGGAAACCCTCAGGGCTGCTCTCTGTCTTGGAGGTCTTGCAGATTTCCGTGAGGTTGACCAACGTGGAGCGATCTGCGAGGAAATGAGTGAGACAAGACACGCGCGCACGCACGCACGGCATGCGCAGTCGGTCGTATACACAAGGGGAAAGGAAACGTCCCCGGAGCTGCCGGGCACACCACCCACCCCTTCCAATGTCAGAAGTGAATGACGGGGAATGATCGCAACGATGCATGGGCCATTTACGCAGCAGGCCATTGGCCCGTGTGCATGTAGTGTACGATGTACGATATACGATGTATAATACGTAGTACACTACATGGTATGTAGCGGGGAGGAGGGGGCTCGCGGTGGATGGATGGGCACCTCATCTCTCCGGCGGTCAGGAAAGGCGGGTCATTCTGGAGCACGGAGATGCTTCAATGTCGGAACCTGCCAACTTTCGGCTTGGCTTTTCCCTTTTGTTTGGAAGCGGGCGATGAGGATGATCCCTCAAGGGCGGGGGCACGTTGCGCAATGGAGGTTGCGGGACGATCTCGAGCTTCTTTTGGAGATGTTCCTATTATTGTAGCTTCGTACGCAGCTATTGGACCAGGGCAGGCCAGGTCAGGCCGGGTCCGTGTTTACTCGGATGGAGCAAGCCGGGGGGGGTTTATTGGAGAGTTTGGTCGAGGGTTCTCGAGATGGGAAGACTGGCTGGAATAGCTCCCCCTGTCTGGCATGTCCTTGGAAGTAAATCGAGACGGGAGAGAGAGAGAACGAGTTCCGTTCGGGAGGAAAAGCCTGGGCAGATGAGATGAAGAGAGATGAGAGACACTAACCTCGTGAAGCTCAGAGAAGAGAGAAAAAAGTAATTAAAAAAAAAAAAAAAGAGCTGCTTCGGATCCGAGGTACCTACTCTGTACTCCATCTTCACTACATATAACGGTAAACTAGGTACACTAGGTAAGATAGATAACTAGATACCAAGATGTACATGTTTATTCATAGTGTACTCCAAGTCGCAGTAGGCACGGGGGGAGGGCACCTTCCACCAGCGATCTCTTCCCCCCCATGCATTTCCCACGTTCCCCCACACGGCGCGGGATCGCAGGAGCCAATGGCTCAAGGCAGAGGGGCGGCAGCCTCACTTTGCGGGAACGAGCCGTGGCCAATCGTCTCATACAATGGGGCTCCAGTCCCCTTCTGGCGATCACGCGACAAGCTATGATTCGCCGAGGCCAGATCTGTGTTTCAAAAGTGGGACAGGAGGTTTTTAGGGTGGAGTGGGGTGGGGTGGGAGAAGGAAGGGTGCATGGAAACGGCCCAGTTCAGCGGCCCTGGCGGCACTTCGACATCACGGCACAATGATGGCTCTTCCTTTAGTGGGTAGGTTCTTTCTGTCCCCAAGTTCTCATCCTCGTCCTCGGCATCGTCGTCGCCGGCGAGACGGCACGCTTATGGTGATCATCTGGCCCCGGTGGGGTCCCGGTGGGGAGGTTCTTCAACTTGGGAAAGAGGAGAGGTGGTGGATGTGGGAGAGAGAGAAAGAGGTACGTACCCTCTCTGAAAACGAGGCAGCAGCTCGACGATTGGACCAACACGGCCGATGCAACTCATTGGAACTTGGAAGGGACGAGGGAGGAGTGTAGACGTACCAAGTACCGTCCGTACCGTACCTTGGCTTGCATCCGGTGATGAGCGTCGCATTGCATCGGGTCCATCACACAACACAGATTCTGGGGGGGGCACTCGTGGGTGTTGTGATGTGAGGTGCGATGTGGTGATGTGATGGGACGACGGATGGTCTGTAGAAAGCCGGGCCACGGGCCTATGCCGCTTTCTCTCCCGTGCACGTCGATAGAGAACGCCGCATCGCCCAGCAAGCGGTCGCCAGTACCCACAAGAGATGCTCGGCCAGCAGCAAGCACCTTGGGGACGACGCCGGAGGGCTGAGGGCAACCCCACGTCGAATCATTACTGCTTCGAGAGGGACGACGAGATGCGGTTGGTGGTGGACGGCCACGATGCATGTGGGCTGCCGGACACACGCGGCGAGGGGGTGTGGCATGAACGAGATGGGCTAGCAGGCCGAGATGGTCGATGTGCCTGATCATCACCGACACCAACCCGTTCTGAGCCTCTTTGGAGAGACGACAATGGCACGACACGGCACGCGGCGGCTATGGTGGCAGCGTGGGATGGCCGTCCGTGGGATTCAATGGTTTCGTCCACTCTTCTGCGTGTGTCCGTGAGCACATCGGCCGTCTCGCCATGGCGTACTTCGTAAGGGTCCCGGACGGGAAAGGGACCTGGTGCTACTAGTGTTTCCTGACGTCGACCACGATGACGGGATACCGTCTCTGGTGGTTTCAATCTCATCTGGCTTGGGCTCAACACCACACCATCAGGAAAGGGGGGGGGATCCCCTTGACCACCCCAACCGAGTGCATGTAGATACAAACACAACCATTGCCGTCGTCTTCACGTTGCTTTTTCTTCCCGCCGTCGACGTCCCGCGCTCCCAATGTCTTAGGATAGCATGCCCCGGGCTCCCCTTCCGGGTGCCCCTCCCCCCCTCGGCTCCCAAGCCCGGGCCTGAAGATCAAGTCAGATCAGGTAGTCTCAGGCGCGGGCCTCATGGGGCTTTGTGTTCCGGACCATGACACGCTCTTTCTGTCCCTCTTCGCGCAAGCCCATGTTTCGGTATGTCTTTCCTGATGTGTGACATGTCGTTGCGTAGCGGGCGATATAGACCAAAAAAAGCGTATCGGGAACCCCTCCCCCCTCACGTCTTCGTCTCGTCCGTGCCTTTGGTCGGGCGACTGCGCAGCGTCTGGCGCGGTTCCGTCATTTCCGAGACATACAGTTCAATCATTGCTTCTGCGGGAGG